TAAATTATTTTGACAACAGGAAATCTCGTTTGGCTTATTTATATTGATCATCCAAGCCTTTTAAAATTCTCAACTTAAACACCAAACAATGAGTATGCCCAAGATCTCAATATTACAATGAAAACAACCAGCATCCTCCACTGAATGAGATAAAAGATAAGTGAGAAGAACGTTCTTCCAGAAATCCATCTTGTCCTCATGGACACGGGGCTGGAACATCTACCTTTGGTCAGTTCCTGAGAGTCAGAAGAAATAATATTTGAAACATGGCTTTGATCTGTGTTGGCCACAGCCAAAGTTCTCTCCTGTGGAGGCCTATTCTTCTTGGTTTCCATTCTGCATTAAAAGCAGAATTTAATCTTAGTGTAGAAAAGCACTTGGAGATTTATAATCCTGGAATATTTCTGAACATCTTCTTATGTAACCATATCCGTGAAGGGCAAAGATGTTGATCCAGTCGTTCACTTCCCTTCAAACGCACGTGAAGAAAATTAAGATTTTTTTTCAAATGATAAGTTGATAGCTGAATCGTTCGAGGGTGCCTTTTCCCACTAACTTATACATGCTGCATATTGCCTGTACGTTTTTTACTTGTTAATAAATATTCTAGTTAGAGCCATCATTCAGAAAGTAGACACAGAGCCTTTAATTCCACCTCAGATCTGATGCCGCACACAAAAACAAACCAGGCTGCGTTCGTGTTCCCAACAGCAGGCAGCTCTGCAGCTAGAGTTCCGAGGCCACCGAGTTACTTACAGAATACGATTCTCCCAGCTTCCAAGACAAATGAGACAGGGTTTTGTATCTGCAATTTCCCAGAATCCGTTCAGGTGGCCTGATTGCTGAGGAAAACCATTTTAGGAAGCAGTGGGTTTTCTTAGACTCAGAGCCTGAATTTAAATTCCTAATCTAATTTAAATACTATAAATAAATTGCATTTACACACATTAGCTTTTGAGTCTACCTACTAATTCTGATGTGTACTAAAATCACAGTAAGCTTAGTTAATTCTAAGAATTAGTATTCTGCTAAGAAATAGCAGAATACCTTTAGCGCTTTTTAAAATATGAAATCTTAAAGAATTTATTATTTTTTTTACGAATTTTAGACAATAACCACCAAACCATGAGATTCCGTTCCAATATGCACCCAAACCAACCAACAAAACAAAACAAGACCAACACACAACAGAACGCTTTTTGTTTAACTGCGTCCTGTTAGACGTTTCAAGCTCTACAAGGGACTCTTTTGAGTTAATCAGTCATCACCCCCATTTCACAAATGAGGGACGTGAGGCACAGGGAGGTCCACGACTTGTTGAGGTACTTGGAGAGAGAGGTAGCGTCCCCTGCCTGTCACGGCTGCCAGGCCTTGCCGGAGGAGGCGCACCACAGAGGAATGCCGAGGCCGGTCCTACAGCGTTTTATTTCTCAGGCTGACACACAGGCTCGCGCTTTGGGGCTCGCACCCTTAAGAAGCATTCATTACAGAGCAGAGAGGTACATTCTGAAAAAGCGTGGAGTAGCTGAAAACGTACCAACATGCACATTCAAAAGGAAAATGCAGCATTAGCAAGGCCCTCATACAAACTCTCTTTAACCAAAACTACTTTCTAGTCATTCAGCATCACACACCGTTTTTTAGTCTATATCACACATCTTGTATGCAGTTTACCGTAGACCTTAGGTAAATCATGAAGTTTACGCTCTAATTTTATTCACCAAAAATAGTTTCCTTTGTGGGACTTAAAAGCATAAGTCCTTAGAACACCCAAAAAAGAATGTGCTGGGCATTGTTTCTCCTACAAATATTACTATTATTTTACTAATGGCAATAGCTCAGAATTCATTCTTCTGAAAACAAAGTTACCATGATAAATGCCTGGACATTCCAAGTTGTTGTCTCTTCACTGTCAGCTAACACATTTTGGATTTTCAGGGGTTTTTTTCCCTGTACTTGTATCATGGTATAAATAAGATCATACCAAATGTTTATAAAAAATTAATGACTTCAGCATCAAACATCTAAATTGAATCAAGCTTCCATCAGAAAGCAATCTCCGGAATTATACATAGAAATGAGAGCAGAGATACTAGTTAGAGAGCAGCCTATTGCACAAGGCAGAAAATGATTTTGCTTGAGTCATATAGCAGAAGTCCTATTAGGCAATGTTACAACTCCAAATAAGGCCAAACGTTTCTAATGCTTAAAATTTGCAAACTCAAAGAGTTATTTAGGTTAACAGGTCCACAGCATGAATGTTTATTGTCATTCAGATTTTTTTGCAACATTTTATCACAATTTTAGTGAGCAGAGGACCCTCAGAATCAGGCATACATCTGATGCACGTGAAATACCCAAGGATCTGCAAAGAGGGTGGAAACAGTGACAACAAAAAGACTCGTTTGTCCCATTGCTCCCAATGGATTACACATCTGATGGGTTGTTCCTTTAATAGGTTGTGCTGAACTATTTTTTAATATTCATGAACCAAAATACCTTGATAAGAACAGAGGGTCACAGTCTTAGAAATAGCAGAATACCTTTAGAGCTTGTTTTTTAGGGATATTTTCCAACACTGGGTTACGAAATGGCCCAGCCTTCTCTTGCCTGAGAGACATGAGACTTTGGGGAAGGTGATAAAGATTTCATGTTTAAAAACTTTCTCTTTTCTTTTGAAAAAAAAATTTTTTTTTTTAAGAGACAGGTCTCATTCTGTTGCCCAGGCCAGAGTGCAGTGGTGTCATCACAGCTCACTGCAACCTCAAACTCTTGGGCTCAAGTGATCCTCCCATCTCAGCCTCCCGAGTAGCTGGGACTACAGGCACTCGCCACCATGCCCGGCTAATTTTTCCTATTTTTTTTGTAGAGACAAGGGTCTTGCTATGTTGTTCAGGCTGGTCTTAAACTTCTGGCCTCAAGTGATCCTCCTGCTTCAGCCTCCCAAAGTTCTGGGATTACAGGCTAGAGCCACCACAGCTGGCCTTAAAACTTTCTATGTCATCTCCAAAGGCACCCCAGGCAGGCAGGTGCAAAAGAATTTAAAGTGGCTCCTACTGAGACTCAGCCAGACTGGGTGAGGCAGAAGGACCTCTTATTAGTTATTGTCATAAAACATTTAATCGGCTCAAGACCTTCTGGACCTTTGAAAAGCATGATCGGAGACACATAAAAGCAGATCCCACGTTTTTCCTGAGATATCGGAATCTGTGTGCTGAGGAGGAGAGGGCGAGGACTAGGTACAAAGTGGGGAGTGACCCTTGGAACTGGGTGTCCAGACAGCACTCCTGACGCTATGTGCCTCTGCCTCTGGGCCCTCCCAGCTGTTCTTGTGAAAAATTGTCAATCTCTTCTTCCTGGTCCCCTTTCCCACTTCTGGGGTAAGAAAAGAAAAAAAAAAAAATCCTTGTCAGTTTTCAGCCAAACCAAAGTTTCTGGATTTTATTCCAAGTTACCTTTAGAAAGTTAAATCCATCTGTTGTCCCCAAGAATGCAATGGGGACCCCTCTCTGGACCACAAGTGGGCGGTGGCAACACTGCTTAGCAAACGCCCTCCTGGGACCCAGGTTGTTTTCCTTATTTACTGATCAAAAGAATTAGGGGCCACTTCAGTTCTGTCCTCTAAACCTGTGGTTCCAGGAGTTTATGCTACTCAAGAGTGTGGATTTATTTTGAAGTGAAACGTGGGGAAAAAAGAGAATATTTAAAAAACAGATGCAGATGTATATTTGGTAACCTAAGTATATATGTAAAGAGTGCCGTGTTTGAGTCGTTGGCAGGTATGAATTCACGGGCCAGTGTTCTTTATAGAAAAATAGCTTTGACGGTACACGATGTGGTCACGTCATTTTTCTCTCCAAAGATTATCATTTTTTAAAAGCTTCTTACAAAGCTTCTTAAAGTCCAAGTTAAAACTGTTACATTCTAACCCAGTGTCACAGCTGATTGGCTCAGAACCTCCCAGGGCCAGTAATGCCACATTACCCTCTGGGGTGGGGGCCGCCTGGGGTCAGGGAGCTGGGCAGCTCCCTCCAAAGCCAGTTCTCCTACTGGCCAGCAAGCAAAGCTCGGGGGACAGATAGGATTAAGTGCTCCAAAGAGGATTCCCCAGCCCTCCCCCAGAGGAGGATCAAACACTCTGGTCTAGTTCTGGGGAACAAAAATAAGCCCCAGAGGAGGAGAAAGTGCCTGTTTAAACAGCATGTGGCCCTTCCCAAAGCTTCCGCTCCCCACCGTACCCCACCGGGGCATGCTGGGGAGAGCCCCTTTCCGCAGCTAAGTGTGTGTAGTGGATCCAGCCCCGCGACAGCCTCCTTTCGTTTCCTAAGCAGAGTCAGACCCTGAGGAGCAGCAGTGGGAGGTCACGACCTCAAATCTCTTCTAGCTGCTTTTGGTGACTAATGGATAAACTCTGCCAAGAAGCGCAACAGCGCGCCGCAGAGAAAGCTCTTTGTATGAACTTACATCTGCACACTCTCCTAAATTCAGGCCCCCAAGGATTAAGGTAATAAAAACTGCTTACGACTTATTGCAAACTGTTTCTTGTGCAGGAAACAAAACCACAATCCGCACATAGCAAGTACCCCTCTCCGAACTTCGTTCTGCCCAACCCCTTTTTCAAGCTGTCCCACGCGGAGGGGGGCGACGCTGGCAGGGATGGGCCCCGAACTTGGACTCCCTGTCAAGGCGCCCAGCAGCATACGTGTTGACTCATTAACTCGGAGAGATCTGGGGTCACTGTGACGGTTTTCTATTAATAGGGCGCAAAGCTCCTGCAGACATCAGCGGTAATGCCCTGCCGCCCGCACAAACTTAACTCCTCCCAGGCCGGCGAGAGGAAACCAGGTCCTGCCCAGGCAGGTGTGTGCTTGAAACGCGCGTGCACACATGCACACACGGGGTTTTAGAACCAATCCCCTTCAACAAACCAGACCCCAAGCCCATCCGGAGTCTGGTCTCCCGGGAGGGAGCGGGGGTGGCGGGCGGGCGTTGGGCGTCCGTCAGCTCAGCTTCGCCACGCACACGGCTAGGGCCACCGCCGCCAACAGCACGGCGCTGAAAACGGTGGCGGCCAGGGCCTTGCTGGGGTCGCAGGGCCCCGCGCGCTCCTCCACAGACACGACCCCGGCCGAGGAGGCACCTGCGCTGGCGCTGGACAGCAGCTCGGCGCCCGCCGCCTGCCGGGCCTGCACGGTCCAGCGGGGCACGTTGACCTTCATCTCCATGTTGTGGATCATCTCGCCCACCTGAAGGATCTCGCGCTCCAGCTCGCGCAGGTCCGCGACGTCGAAGTCGCCCTGTGCCTCGTGCCGGAGGCTGCGGGCACTCAGGGCGCGCGCCGCCACGCCCGCAGAGCCGCCGGCCACCCCGGTGCGCACCAGCGGCCGCCGCGGCGCGTGCAGCGGGAAGGCGGTGCCCAGCTCCAGCGCGCGTCGCATGTCGGCCTCCAGCAGGTCTAGGCAGCCGGAGAACGCCACCCACAGGCGCTCGAACTCGGAGCGCTCCTCGGCGACCAAGCCCCGGTCGCGCAGCGCGACCGTCAGCCGGGCGCAGGCGGCCCCCGCCAGCTCCTGCGCCTTTTGGCGCGTCTTCTGCAGCTCCCCCCGCAGGTTCTGCGAGTCCGCCGAGCCGCCGACGGTCAACACCAAGTGGTGGTAGCACGCGGTCGTCCTGTTGAGCGCGTCCAGCAGCGCCTTGCACTCTTCCCTCGCCATGGCGCTGCGCTCCGGTGCGGCCTCGCCGTCAGCGCGGCAGGACGCGGCCAGCCCCGACGCCAGCCCCGGGCCAGGTGGCCGGAGCACTCCTCATGGCCCGTGAGCGACGGCGCCCGCCCGCGACCCGCGACGTGCGCCCCAGCAGACCAGGCGCCGGGGGGAGCCTAGGAGCTGCGTCCCGGGCCCTGGTCCATGCTCCCCGGGCGCACGCGGCTCACACTCCGGGTCTGCGCACTGCCCTCGCCCGCACGGCGGCTGCCCGGGATGCCGAGGGCACGGACCCCATCCTCCTCGGGCGCCAGCCGCGCGCTCCGCCAGCCGCTGCAGAGGGCGGTGTCCGGTCCTGGATCCGCCCACTCCCGCCGGCCCGGCCCGGAGCTCCCACCCCCGGATCAGGGGAGGCGGGGCCCCGCGCGGGGAGGTCACGTGTGGGTCCCTCGTCGCTCCCTCCCTGCATCCCATTACAGTTCTGCAAGATTAGCACGCGGGAGAGCCAACCCTTCCCTATTTCACAGACGGGGAAACTGAGGCCGGGTCAAAGGGGTTAGTTCACGCAGAGTCCCTGCAAGCGAGCGGACTAGAGCCCAGGGACGCTGACTCCCAAACCCTGCTGGACAGGACGTGGGGTGCCTGCAGGCCTGGGCACTTCGTGCCCCCAAGGCGCGCGGTGAAGAGCGAGCCCCGGCCGCACTGTCCAGCTTGGACTCTCCTCCCACTGCGGTCCCGCAGGTTCCCGGCCGCCCAGGCGGACCCCACCCCTGGGCCAGACCGGCCCTCGGCCCCGCCCCCGTCTGGGCACGCGCAGTCGTGGGCTCTGGGCGGGGCTGCCTGAGTAGGAAGCGCTGCGAGCCGCCTGAGTCCCACCCCCAGCCGGGCCGGGCTCCGTGATTGCTCCGTGTCCACGTCTCTCCGGATCAGCACGGCCACTCATTGGGCCGTGCGGGGGCGCGGCTCCGCCCAACGGTGGGTAAGGGCTGGGCCGTGGAGCCAGCCGCTGCGCTAGGGTGGTGGGCGCCGAGGTCCGAGCGGCGCGCCGGGAGGTGCCGCCTGCGCCGGGGAAGGCTGGGATGAAGCCATGTAGCCTTTCCCGTAAGTGTTCTTCCGCCGGTGTCCGCGCGCCTCCCTGGGCGTCGGGCCGGAGTCCGGGCGGCGCCTGGGGGCAGGGGGAGGGGCCCTTCCCTCGCCGCTGGGGCCCCGGTCCCCGCTGGTGGCCTCCCGGGCTGTCCCCGAGCCCCGGCCCCCGCCGGTGGCCGCCCGCCCGCTCCGGCCCCGCGCGCCCACCTGCCCTGGTTCGGAGGAAGGGGCGGCGCGAGGAAGGCGTCCCTGGCCCCCGCGGCTCCGAGGCGGGCGGGCGGGGCCGGGTCCCAGCAGCTCGGACTTGGGGACAGCGGGCGGGGCCGTCGCTCCCGCGGGGTCGCCTCCGCCGCTTCCCGGCCGCCTGCGGGGCCGGTGGAGGGGCTCCGGGGAGGGGTCTGCGCCCCGCGCCGGGCTGGTGGCCTTCCCGGGTGGTCAGGCGGAGGGGATCCCTGCCTGCCCGCCTTTCCCGGCGGGGCCTTCGTCCCCCGAAACATCACTTCTCAAGCACTGAGAGATGTTCCGGACTCGGGTCTGTTCCGTTCTTCACGGGAACTGGACTGCCCAGCGGCGCGCGACCCGGCCGTCCCCTCCCCCCGGCCGCCCCTCGAGGCGCGGGGTACGTGGGCACCCGTGGCCGGTGCTGGGCTGCGGAGCAAGTGATGCGTCTTCATTCAAGGTTTAGGACGTTCCGGGAACAAGGGGGGCGAGACTAGAGGGACCATAAAGTTGCATGAGAGCTGGGAGTTTCCAAGTTTTGGGATTTCTCGGAGACAGGCCCTTGTTTTAACCAAATAATGCCTCCTCCCCACCAGTCCTAGAGTAGAGCGGTGGATATTAACGTTTTGTCTCCTGTAGGCCTGGTGTTGAGGCAGCCTGGGGTCCGCAGTACTGGGTCCGCTCGCCCAGGGGCCTGTCGTTTGGTGGAGTCTGCGGCTGGCTGTTCGCTGCCGGGGCCCGGGCACTCCAGGCCTTGACCATTCTCTGGGGAGGAGCGTCTCAGCCACCCACAGGCCACACCGGGGTCTTGACAGGGGAATAGTAGTTTTCAGGACAAAATGGGTGGAAAGAGGGAGAACCAATCTTTTTGCGGGGCTTTGGGGACAGTAGAGGGTGATGAGGCCGCAAAGGTGGACAGAGGCCAGATATTGGCCGGTACCAAACAGAGAAGTTGAGAGTTCATCCGATAGGGAGCGGAGGGGAAGCCCACTGTTGGAAAGATCACTTTGTTGTGTCTCGGGTGGACAGGTGGGGAGGGGATGCAGGATGGGGGCAGGAGCAGAGACTTCTGCTGACCAGCCCTAGTGGCGGGAAAGCAGTAGGGGCCCTGAAGTTGGACATTCCCACCTTTCACCTTGGGGGAGCTCTCCCAGCCTTGACTTGCCCCCTGAAATGGCCTTGCCTGGCAGCATTACTGGGAGGGCAGCAGAAGTGTCTGCCCAGGGCCTGGGGTCAGGGTTTTACCTGTGGCCGTTGGCCCATGTTGTCCTCATGGGCGCCGCTGCTGGGTCTGTTATCGACGTTTCCGTGTGCTGGTTAGTGTTTCTGTGGCATCTGCTCTCTTGGGGCTCTCGCTGTTATCAGTTGCCAGTATTAGGCTGGTGTCCAAAAACTTCATCCTCTCACAGAGGAGCAGAGGAACGTGACCACGTAATGGCAGACACCAGGCCTAGAAAGGATCCAGCCCAGAAGAGTGTGAACCTGATTTGTCCTGAGGTTGCTTCTCCATCTGAGGGACACTGAGAAGTGTCCTTCCACCCAAGATGCTGGCAGAGAGTGGGTGCTTGGTGGTTCCACCTGAAGCTCCAGGAGCAGGGCGATGGGGCCGCGTTTGGAGCACAATAGCCCCTCCAAACTCTTCCGTTTCCTCCCTGGTCCCACCCTGCTCTGGTCCTGGGGCCTCCTCTCCTTCTCTAACCCTGCACGTTCCAGCTGTCACCGTGTTGGGCTGGCTCTGAGCACTCTGTTTGTTTTCAGCTTTTTGCTTTTGTGCCTACTTGGCTGTGCCTGGGGCTAGCCCCTCTCCTACCCTGGCTATGGGCAGTGGATTTCCAGCCCCTGTGAGAGATGATCTCTCCCTGGAAGCCTGAGCTTCCTCTCAACACCCTGCTGTCATGTGTTCGAGTGGGTGAGCAGCTGTGTGCCTGCAGCGAGCCAGATGCAGGCTTGCTGGGTGCTTTACCGAGGAGCTTTGAGAAAAGTGTGGACAGGATCCATAAATGTCACAGGCGAGAAGGACACAAGTGACGATAACAACGTATATTACATCACCAAATTGCTCCCACTGGTGTTAAAAGTAGATGAATAGAAAGTTTTCCCTTTTTGCCCTTTCCTTCTGACTCACAAATTAGACCAACTAGAGGCTATTTCTCCTCACTTGCTTGGGTCATGCTCTTTGGTCAGGGCCCTGAAGGACGGGAGCAGCCACAGCTGTGAGATTTCAGCAGGGAGTGCATCTCTGGGAGGTGTTGGCTTCCCTTGCCGAATTCTGCTGAGCTGGGCTGCACGCTGTCACCAGATGGTTCCTGACCACCCAGACTTATCTGGGCTGGCAGGACGGTTGAAGACCACAAAACCACGAGTGCACACGTTGCCTCCTGAAATGCCGGATACTAGTTTGAGGCCTCACATGGCTCTCCTGCACATAGATTAACATCAGATCTTCAGCATCTCCAATGAACTCCACTGGATTTTCTATACATTTTCCCATCATTTGGGCCCCGGCAGGGATGGAATTTATTTTAACAAGTTTTGTAAGTTTCACTTGTCTTTCCAGTTTTATATTTTAAAGTAGAAAACTAATTCTTGCAAGTAAACTTAACAGGGTATTACATTATTTTTAAGCATTTACCCCTGTATAAGAATTCAACTCTGGCACTAAGCACCAGATTGTATGAGATTATTACATATTTTTAACACTAGGACAGAAAGGTTGAGAACAGTGTTGGACAGAGCTCTTTGAATCCCTGCTCCTGGACAGAGGGTTCAGTCATCGGTGACCAAGAGGCCTGATGTTCAGGATAAAACGGATGGCTGGAGGCTAGAAACAGCAAGCTCTGTCCACTCGGCGGCAATGCTTGTTAGGAGCCTGTGTGTTCATGCATGTGACCTGCATGTTGTATGTGGCATTCGGCGGCCTTCCCTTCTTTTGCTGTTCTTCCCCTCTCTGACCTACTCTGCTTGGAGTCTTATTACTTTACTTCCCTCTGCTCAACTTCCCATGTCGTCTTGGGTTTCCTGTACCTGCACTGAACCTTCCTCCCTGCTCTTGGCCCTGCTGGGAATGTCCCTCCCATCCCCCGCCACCCCTCCCCCCGTCCTCTCCCCTCTGCTGTTCCCTTCTTGCTCTTGTTCTTCTTACCTTCCAGCTAGGTTGTCGATGCCTCTGCTGAAGCTTGTCCCTGTCACCTCCGTCTTGGGGGTAGAGGTGTCTGTGTTCTGCCAGCATCTTTTCTGAGGAGCAGAAGGGCTTTTCCCAGCTTTAGTCTGACCATATCACTTCCTGCTTCTTGCATGATTTTTGTCCAAAGCGTCTTTGCTTTTGCAGTCTGCCACGTAGAACCAACTGTGTCAGAAACCAAGAATTTTTTCTTGTGACTGTGCCAGCAAAATTGCATTATCCAGTTGTTCTGGTGAGGACTCATAAAAGGATTAATCTGGACCCCGATAATAATTGAATTCAGCAATTCAAATACCTGAATTGTCGCAGAGCCATCCCAGGGGCCCAGGAAGGGATTATACGCAGACATTTTCATGCGAAGCTCTTGTTCCTAAGAGGACTTTCGGGAGCTCTGGGGCCTCTTTCAGGCAGACCCCAGGGGGCCCGCAGCCAAGACAGCTGGCTCCTGGCCACCTGTGGCTCCTGAAATGAACCCATTTCCAGGTGTGTTTATTTCACATGGTGGGTGTGGTGGTGAATGGGATGAGTTTTAGAATAAATTCTGGCATCTGTGTAATCTTGAGTCAGCCAGCTGAATCTGTTTCTTCATCTATGACCTGGGGCTAATGATACCTACTTATTGAGAGTTAGTATAAGCATTAGAATAGGATTAGGATGTATAGAAGTTATTGCAGTGCCCAGAACAAGGATGCTCCCAAATGGTGTCTGTTTTTGTCATTAGTTGTAAGGGACAGAATTCATAATGCAGTTACGCGTGGTGTTTGTGCAAGAATGCATTATGGAACATTGCTACATAGTGAGAAAGTAATTCGGTTTTTCATTCAGATTTCATTGAGCTGATTGTTTCAAGGATAAATTCGCTTGGTGCTTTTAAAAGCTGCTGGTTTTCTCTTTTTGATGAAGAGAGAAGGCCACAGGATTAAGTTTAGCACCTTTGGCAGGCAGTAGTATCTAGTGAGATTTTAAATGACATTAATTGGCTTTATAATTTTTAACTTTAAGAGTATCTTCTCTTTGTGGGAAGTGATACTGTTTTTCTATTTAAAGTAGTAATAAGATTTTTTTTGTTCAGGGTAAACAAAGATTTCTTTTTAAGATAAATTTTAAAAAAGACAGTAAATGTTTAAAAGAAAATGTCAAACACTAACAACAGAGCCATTGTGTATAATTTCCAGGTCATGCATTGCACAGGGTGCCGGCCAGCAGGGGTGTCAGACGGGCCACTGTGCAGCCTGTGAACTGTGTCCACTGGGAAGGGGGGGGTACCTTTTTCTAATTCTTACGATGGCACCATGTGAGCTTGTCGTAACTGGTGGCACATTGATGTGCAGTACTGTCTGTCAGAAACAGTGAAGGTGGCACATAAACGATCCTTGTGGGAACCCTGCAGGCAGGTATTAGTATCTTCTGTTGCACAGACCAAGGTGGAGGCTTGGGGAGTTGGAATGACGTGGTTAGAAAGAAATATGATCTTTTCTGTGCCCATTTTGTAGACTTCCTCTCTGATAGGCTGGTACAGCCAGACTGATCTGTGCTAAGGGGGGCAGCCCAGGGAGACGGAGGACCAGCTGGGGATGGTTCTTAAAACGTGCAAAGCACCTGCTCACATTGGTCAGCAGTGTGAGGCAGTTTGTAGATGGCAACACCCTTAAAACAGCAAGTGAGTGGAAGATTGGCTTGCAGTCCTCTGTTCGCAGACCTTTCAGTCTTAAATCACAGCTGGGCAGACTCTGGCTTTGGAAATCAGTTTGATGGTGGTGGTAGGTGTGTTCTTATTTTACCTGTACAGTGCGACTCTGATGTAAGTCCTTTGGCTTTTGCTTTTAGAACCTCACCTGCCACAACCAATCTCGTTTTAAAAATCTCATTTACAATAGCAGCAAAATCTAGGCAGAATATATAAATAATCACTCTAATAAAAGTGTATAATATTTATGGAAAAATTTAGTTGGAAGACATGGAAGAAGACATTCATAGAGAGATATACCATGTTTATGAATGATAAGATTCAATATTGTAAAGATACTGACTCTCTAGTTCATGAATTGAGTGTATTTCCAATGAAGATCAGGATTGTTCATGAAATTGACAAAGCTGATTCTAATTTATGTGATATTATAAAGAACTAGCAATAACCTTTGGAGAGCAAAGGGAGGAGGTAGACATTTCTTTATGAGATGTCAAGGCTTTTATGAAGCTGTAATCATGTAAAATCATGTGGTCTAGCCCTGCTCTGTCCAGCAGAATAGCCACTAGCCACAGTGACTATCAAGCACTTGGCTACTATGAATTGAGTTGCTGTAAATGTAAATACACACCAGATTTCGAAGACTTAGCAGGAATAAAAAGAATGTAAAACATATCATGAATAATTTTAAAATAATGATCACACGTTGAAAATATATTTTGGATATATTAAGATAATAAAATACTAAAATTAGTTGCACTTGTTTCTTTTTTAGTGTGGAAATTCAAAATCACATATGTAATTCTATGTAATTACGTATTTCCTACGTATTTCTGTGTGACAGCACTAATCTAGGCCAAAAACAGGCAAAACATACATGGGATCTTGGAGTAGTATGAAGGTAGCATCATCAACCAGTGCAAAGGGGCGGGGCGGGGCCGGGCATCTCTCCCTCCGCCCACAGCGGGGTCGGGGTCTCCGCCAGGAGTGGGTGAGTCGCCGGCACGCCCCCTCCTCCGTGTCGGGGGAGCATTTTATCCCAGTACCCTTGAAAGCACGTAGGTTCTTGGCCGGGACTATATGGCTTTGGAATTGGAAAGGATGTGGTTTCAGGTAGCGTTTGCTGCGTAACAAACCAGCCCAAAACTTGGTGGCTTAAAATAGTTGCAGTTTGTTACTTCCTACTATTACGTGGGTTGGCCAGGTAGTTCTGCTGGTCTTACCTGGGCTCAGCCATGGGGGCTGTGTTCCACTGGTGGGTTGGCTGTGCTCACTGGAACACCTGGGCCTCCCTCTTCCCTCGTGGCCTTTGGTCCTGTGGGCTTCTCCACAGCATCGTGATCTTGGGGGCCCGAGAGAATGAGAGTGGACTCTGCAAGGCCTCTTGAGGCTAACACTCAGAAATTGAACAGGGTCAGTTCTGCCTATTGGTCGAAGCAAGTCACGGGGCTGGCTCAGATGCAGGGGGTGGGGAAGTAGACTCTACCTTCTGATGGGGGGAAGAATGATGAAGTCACTTTGTAAGGGGGCATGCCGGAGGATATACTGTATCTCTCAAAAGAAAATCTGAGTCAAACATGGCAAAATGTTAAGCTTCCTTAATTCTGGTGGTAGATTTGCATTATTACTCAGTACTTTTCCGTGTGCTTAAAATATTGCATTAAAAATACATGAGTATCTTTAGAATGTAGAATGTCATAATTTTGGTCATGTAGGCTGTTCTAAGAATAGCCATTTATGCTTTTGCCATGAGTTGGAGTTTAACAAGGTTTTCTGAGCTTGATTTACTCATGTAACCGATACACAGGTCATCTTGGAATTGTGGATTATATTTGATATTTCCTGATGGAGTCTGTGGAGGAGAATAATACGCGTCGAAGATGCTTTTTGGAAATTGCCAGATGAAGACTTTGTGTGTTATATAAACCTGAAAATGGCCGTTCATGGTTTTTTCCTCTCTTGTCCCAGGAAACTCACTTGGACCCATCTGAAGTCCATATGGCTCTATATGACGAAGATCTCCTGAAAAATCCCTTCTATCTGGCTCTCCAGAAGTGGCGTCCCGACTTGTGCAGCAAGGTGGCCCAAGTCCACGGCATTGTAAGTGCATTGAGCCTGAGGGTGTCCTTAGCTGTGGATGATGCCAGAAACATGGCAGACTGAGGTTACGTTGAGAGGAAGTCCGATACAAACCTGCTCAGTTCAGCAAGCCCCCAGAAGCATGCTTGCTGTGCAAATGAGCAACAAGGGGTCAGCATGAATTGCTTCCTCCAGGAAGCCTCCTGGAACTGCAGCCCAGGGTGTGATCCTTTCTCTGAACTCTCAGCCCCTGTCTGTGACTAATCATGCCCTTTCGTGGAGTACCCCCATGACACTGGCATCTCACACGGTGGTGTTCACCTTTGTCTCTTGCTTCTCCGTCGACTGAGGGGGCTTCTCCAGGGCAGAAATCAGTTCTTCCCCTGAGCCTCAGGAGCCCTCACCTGCGTCTGGGGGGGCGGTGCTCACTCCCGTAGAGTAAGGGAGCACGGGAACACATTCACACTCAGCTTCGAAAGGCACTTCCCAAAGGGCGAGAGCCGTAACGAAAGAACTTCCGTAGCAGAGGCCACAACCTCAGAAGGCTACAGGGGCAGCCGGGTGACAGGAACAAGAGAAGCAGGTAGGAGAATCCGTAGCCTGTCTTGATGCGGGCACCTGCCTGGAGGGAGGGCAGGCCCCGCCTTTCGGATCCTCCCAGGTCTCAAGTCAGTGAACTTCGCGGGCGTCTTACTCAGAGAGCACTTCGGGACGACCTGCGGCCTCCGCTCAGTCTTCTGTCTTCTTTCTGTGTGCCGTTCCCTTCTTCTCATACTGGCACGTCCGCTTCTCTTACCCTGTGTGCGGCCGTATTCCACATTCAGTGCAAATTATTGCGACCTTCAGCTCTCTCGTGAGGCAGGTACCTTGTTTCCACGCTCCAATTCTTTCCCCTCGGCCTGTGTCACGAGGTCTGTGATGTTTCTCTGCAGACCATCCGGGCGATGCCCACATCACCAATTCTTCCAATTGTCTGGTCGGACGTGGTGTGAATTTATCTCACATCTGTCGCAGGAGCCTCAGCACCACCAAGGTCAGATCCGGCGTGGTCTCAGGGTCACACTTGGTTCCCCGCGCCCAGCTTGGCGGTGATGTCTCGAACCATCCTGCACGTTTTAGGTTGAACCTGCTCCAAAGCGGGCGCCTGGCACCCTGAGACATCTCTGGTGGAGGCTGCAGCCTGCGACAGGAAGCCGTGTTTCTTTGGCCTTCTTTGCATCCTTGCAATCTACGATCACAGCTAGGCTTTAGTGAAAAAAAAACCATGGGGTGAGGGGCGCAGTGTCATGCATCCGTAGTCCCAGCTACTTGGGAGACTGAGCTGGGAGGATCAGTTGAGCCCAGGCGTTCAAGACCAGCCTGGGCAACAGAACAAGACCCTGTCTCTATTCAAAAAAAAAAAAAAAAATAGGAAAAAGATGAGAAGAAAGCCATCTTCAGTGTGACATGTTTCTCTTTTGGGTGGTGGGAGCATGTGTGATTTTTTAGTATCCCTTTTCTGTACTTGCCGAATGCTCCTGTCTTCGCCTAGACTTGCTCCTGAGCCCGTTGACTTGTGAGTGGGCAGTGGAGACAGAGGGGGTGCCCGGGCTTCGCTGTGGGGGACCCAGCAAGTGTGGGCCTGTCAGTCTTCATGTCCGAAGACGGAAAAGGACTTGTGCTGTCCCCGTCCTCCCTCTGCCTGTGGTGGGGAGCGTCTGCTTCCAGTTCTCCTGCCAGCAGGTCCCCGCCAGCCCAGCTGGAGCGTCTCTGGACACATCCTGTTCTGCTGACGTTGTCAACGACGCGTCTCCCTAATGTTCACCCGCTGGTGTTTTTCAGGTCTTAGTCCCCTGCAGAGGAAGCCTGTCGAGCAGCGTTCAGTCCACTTGTCAGTTTGAGTCCTACATTTTGATACCAGTGGAAGAGCATTTTCAGACCTTAAGTGGAAAGGTACTCATTTCTTGGTGGGTCACCCAGGGTTGCTCACTCAGCGCTTGGGGGCAGGGGGAGGAAGGGGATCCTGTTTCTCAGCCTCTCACATCTGCGGGAGACGGTGGCACGTGACCCACGCACAGCAGCCCTTCGTGGGGGAGGAAAGAGGAGGTGGGAACCGGCAGCTGTCTGGGAGGCGGGGCGGGGCGGGGCCGGGCATCTCTCCCTCCGCCCACAGCGGGGTCGGGGTCTCCGCCAGGAGTGGGTGAGTCGCCGGCACGCCCCCTCCTCCGCGTCGGGGGAGCATTTTATCCCAGTGCCCTTGAAAGCACGTAGGTTCTTGGCCACAGATTGGACTTCAGGGATGAGTATTTTATTTTTTTGAAAATTTTTTTTTTTAAATAGTTTCAAACCTACGGAGAGTTGCAGTAAAGTACAAAGAACTCTCCTACAGCGTTGCCCCAAGGCTGGTTAACTGTTAACGTCTTTGCCACATTTGTTTAATCACTTACCCTCTCCACACACATTATTAGTACTTTTCTAAACTGTTCGAGAGTGAGGCGCAGACTCTGTGCCCTTTACCCCAAGACGGGTCAGCTTGTGTTTCCTAAAAACAGGTGTTCTCTTACGTAACTATGATGCAATGATCACATTCCGTGAATTCAGCACCGATAGAATGTTCTCCAACATACTGTCCTTATGCAAGTTGTGCTAGTTACACTAATAGTATCTTTTTATAACAAAAAATACTCTTTTTTCTTTTTAGATCTAGGGTCACACAATGCATTCGGTCATTAATCTTTTTTAGTTTCCTTAATTTGGAACAGATCCTCACTATTTCTTTGTCTTTCATGACATTCACATTTTTGTTTTCTCGTGCAAACTGTTCTGGGTGTGGGTTTGTCTGACGCGTCCCCAGGGTTAGATCACAGTCACGCGTTTTCGGAGGGGATGCCGCAAAAGGGCGTTTTATCTCTCTCGGCGTTTCCTGTCAGGAGGCGCGTGATGTCAGTTAGGCTCACTGTGGATGTTAACTTTGGGCTGTGCGGGTTTTGTTTGGCTTTTTCTTAAGTGGAAGCAGGTAGGTTCTGAGAGGGGGAAGTTTTAATCCCAGCCAGGACTGGCTGTGTTTCCCAGCCCTGCCACGGTCAGGGCAGCCGAGGCTCGAGGGCACTGTGACGGTGACAGGAGGGACAGGGTTGCAGCAGGTCTGCTCCGGGCCAGCAGCCTGGTGCTCACGAGACACACTGCTGTTTTCCTGCCAAGGTTCTCCTCGCTGTAGCTGTCAGTCCCTTGTTAATTTATTTGTTCTCTTTGGTACCCAAGTCTACAAAGAGGACAGAGGAGCCGGGCTTATCTTGGCGGGTCTTCCCCGTGCACCTGGCCACGGCAGAGTGGGCCGTGGAGGGACAGTACCGTGCGTTCTTCAGCCCGTGCCCGTTGCGGTGCCGGATCGCTGTGGTCTCTTAGGCAGGAGAGCCCTTTTACTTCTGCTTTTCTCAGAGGATACAGGATTTCTTCTCCTCAAGAAGTAGCTTAATACTTTTTGTATTGCAACTTTTACTTTATTTTTTTTAGAGACAGGGTCTCACTGTGCTGTTGCACCATTTAAAAAGGATCTGGGCACTTTGTAGCCACAGCTACTGAAGTGAGCCAAGAGGAAAGAAAAAATTTTAGTATCAAATAGAACAAAACGGTTGGGCATGGTGCACCTGTAGTCCCAGCTACTCAGGAAGCTGGGACAGGGGGCTTGGGAGTTTGGGGCTGTGGTGAGCTATGATCGTGCCTGTGAATAGCCATTGCACTCCAGCCTGGGCAACATAGTGAGACCCCCATCTCTAAAAATATGCATATTTTTTAAAAAGACCAAAGCAAGAGTGTTTATGTCCCAGCAAACCCAAATTGGGGTGAAGGTAGGCAGGGTCTGGTTAAGTGCCATATTGGGGGGTCCGCTGAGAGCGGGACAGTGGTTGCCACCGGCCGCTGGTGCAGTGATGGCTTTCTTGTTCCAGGATGTCTTTATTCAAGGAAACAGGATTAAATTAGGAGCTGGTTTTGCCTGTCTTCTCTCAGTGCCCATTTTGTTTGAAGAAACTTTCTACAATGAAAAAGAAGAAAGTTTCAGCATCCTGTGTATAGCCCATCCTTTGGAAAAGAGAGAGAGTTCAGGTATTCTGGGAAAAAAACCCTTTTCTCCTGATTTGGAGAAATATGTTTGTTGAACTTCTTCCTGACACAGCTGTGTAAAGGTTAAATATCCCAGAAAATATTCAAGAGCCCACTAGAAACCAGCATAACTGTTTGCAGTAATTCTCCCTAGAATTTAATCGGTCATCTCGAGCTCAGGAGATGTGGATTGGCGCGGCCGTGTATGGTTGCACAGGTTGGATACTGCACAATTCCAGGAGGCACCATTCACGCAGACCTCAGTGTACTGTGGTACGCCTGTGATGCAAATGTCCCCACCCGCACCCCCCAAGTTGTGCAAAGCAGTAGTCCTGGCTTTGTCTCTGGGTCTCAGCTTTAGGGTTTGCTCTTACAGCATTATTACCCAGCCAGCCCGGCCATCGTGCCTCTTCGAGATCTCGTTATTTGTAATGAATAATAATTCTTCATTTGCCCCAGGAGATTGAGATAACAATGTGCCAAAGGCACTCTGAGGCTCCCGTCAGGAATGGGCCGAGTCTCACTGTCCTGCCCGCAGCCCCGGCGAGTCTGGGTCTGGCCCCAGGAAGAGGCTGTGAGAGGAGCAGGCTTTTGAACCCCAGGCTGTTCTGGAGCTGGGTGGTTCTTCTGCAATATTTTGAAACAAGGACATTCCCCCTGCACGTCCGTCCCCGTGCCCTGGAAGTCGGGGCCCTGGGCCCGTCGGAGTAGGGAAGAGGATGTGGAACTTCTCCCCTCGGGAAACAGCCGAGGCTTCAGCCAGCCTGACCCCTGTCTCTTTTCCAGAAGAGCCTTCGGCACCCTCAGATCCCTTTTCCCTGAAAACCATCGAGGATGTGAGGGAATTTCTGGGGAGACACTCCGAGAGATTCGACAGGAGCATTGCCTCTTTCCACCGAACGTTCCGAGAATGCGAAAGGAAGAGCCTCCGCCAGCACATAGTCAGTAGCCATTGGTGTCCTGCCCGGCGTGCCCCGTCTCAGCCCACCCAGGGCACCGGGTCCCTCTGTCGACCCTGGAACTTTGGCCGCTGCTGCAAGATCTGTGTAGTTGTTTCTAACTATGAAAGTAGTATAGCCGGTGCGGTGGCGCACACCTGTAGTCCCAGCTACGTGGGAGGCTGAGGTGGGAGGATCCATTGAGCCCAGGAGTTCGAGGCCAGCCTGGGAATATGGCAAGACACTTGTCTCTCTTAAAAAAAAAAAAAAGCATAATATAAGCTACTGTAGAGAACTTGGCAATCATGATAAAGTATAAAAACGGGTATTGTTATCATCTATGTTAACCCCAAAGGGAAGTTTTTCCTACTTTTAACGCATATACACCTAAAAAAAAGTTGGAAAAGTCCATCCTCTAATTGCTTTGGTAAAGCTTGCGTTAGCTCGTGAAGCTCTGGGCTGCCCCCGCGTTCAGGGTCGTGTGTCGCAGCCTCCGGCGGTGAGAGCCCCACGTCTGTCTCTGCAGGACTCGGTGAACGCGCTCTACACCAAATGCCTCCAGCAGCTTCTGCGGGACTCGCACCTGGTAAGCAGCAGGACTTCCGAGAGGGAGGATTGCAGCTTGCCACGTGCAGATCCAAGCTCTTTAACTGTCCTCCTCCGTCCTCCAGAAAATTCTCGCCAAGCAGGAGGCCCAGATGAGCCTGATGAAGCAGGCAGTGGAGGTTAGGGCGGGGCAGTGGCTGGGGGGCTCTCCCTGTCGCCCGGCGCACACCCTGAACTGGGGTCCGTTGATTTCGCAGATGTACGTCCACCACGAAGTTTACGACCTGATCTTTAAATACGTGGGGACCGTGGAGGCCAGTGAGGTAGGTTCTCCGCCCTCGTCACCCAGCATGGAAGCCCTGTTTCGTGCTTTTTAAGAAATTCGAAGCTTCGTTAACGTCTGTTGTTAGGATGCTGCCTTTAACAAAATCACAAGAAGCCTTCAGGATCTTCAGCAGAAGGATATCGGTGTGAAACCCGAGTTCAGGTAAGGGTTTGTGCCGCGTCCTCGGCGGCCGGGGTGCTGCTTTCTCCCTGAAGCGGGGCCTCTCGGCGGTAGAGGGGCACACTGATTTGGCGGGTTGAGGAGCAGTGAAGTTACTTGCGACCTAACAGGGCTGAAGTTGGCAGGTGACTGTTCAGTAACCCCCTTCACGCTCACCCCCGGCCCCCGCCCTCACCTACGCACTAGCGTGCGGGCCGGACAGGAGCTACCAGGGACGGGGTTCTGTGCACCTGGCTCCAGGTGGGCACACGACTTGCCCAGGTGTGTTCTGCGTGCTGCGTGCCCCTCCTCCCCTGCCCACCTGAGGGAACCCGGCCGTAGAGGCACTCCCTTTTGAGTTAATTTAAGTTTCATCGGGGTACAAAAATGTCTAAAGTGTTTGTGTTTAAACTCCCCCTACCTTTGGGCTATTTCCTTCTGGGGCTAAGAGTTTTTATCTTTTCCCCAAATTTCTGCTGTAGCTCTCTCTTTTTTTTTCCCGGTGAGCTCCCCAGCTCTCTGTCACCTGACAGCCTCAGTGGCATTTAAAGCCATTGTGTTTTGCCACCAACTTGAGTCAGATTACTTCTCACTATCTTTTTTTCCCCATCACTTATGTTTGCTGGGAGACATGCACAACCTGAGCCATATTACTGGATCAAGGAAGAAGGGCTGAGGTTGTCGCTTGCCAAATTACTTCACAGCTTCAACATACCTCGTGCGAAGAGAGAGCTGGCGCGGCTGAACAAATGCACCTCCCCGCAGCAGAAACTGGTCTGCTTGCGAAAGGTGGTGCAGCTCATCACGCAGTCTCCTAGCCAGAGAGGTTCGTGCTTGAGGAGGGGCCTGGCGAGGGGTCGGCGCACCCATCCAGACAAGAAGGTCTGCTAAGAGGTGGCGCTGCGCCACGGGGTCACACGGATGGGGCTGACGCTCAGCGGCGTGAGCGTCTCGGAGTCTGTTCTGAGGGTGGGTGCTTCGTGTGGAGAGTAGGTTAGACACAGGGCGAGAAAACAGGGATGGAGAAGCAGTGTCCTCAGCAGTGAGCTGAGCCGGCGATGGTCGCGTGGGGGTTCAGCAGTTTGTTAGAGTGTTCTCCCTGACTTTATATATGTTTGAACATCTACGGTATGGAAAGTAAAAGCAAGCTAAGAAGAAACGAATAAGGAGGAGGAGGGAGATCTTTGCGCAGACAGGGGCTGCTCTTCAGAGCGTGCTGCGTGGAACGGCAGAGCGTACGCGGTGCGCTTGCAACAGCAGCGAAGGAAGGGCGGGACGGCCGCGCGTCCCTGCGTGTGGCGGTGCCTTCGTAGACCGTCTCTGGGGGGTGCGCAGGCAGCAGCAACAGTGTCCTGGGTGGCAGCAGGCACGGGAGGGACAGTCGCGGTTTGCTCTTCCATACTGTGAATTTTTAAATGTGGATGGATGACTTAAAATTTCAAAATGAAAAAAATAAAGCGAAGCTACACGTGGGCGTTAGACTCCACGCGTGTAAAATGGGAATCACCTCGGGAGGAGAACGAGGCTGTGGGGACGGCCCCGGGCACGTCCTCAGTGTCCGCCGCCACTGCTGCCGGGCTCTTCAGCCGTCCAGGAGGGCGTCAGCGTGTGGTCTGCTTGCAGTTACCGCCTTTCGTGCGTGTTCTGAAAACGAGGGGTGTTCTTTCCCCCCCCAACTCTGCCATCTGTTGAGGCCACTGCAGAGGAGATTGTGCGGTTACGTTTCTCCCTGACGCGGAATCTCACTGGGGTGCGTTTCGCGGTTGGAGGGCGGTGGGGAGCTGATGCACGCGTCTGTCCGTTTGTATTTCCCACTTGCAGTCAACTTGGAGACCATGTGTGCTGACGACCTGCTATCAGTCCTGTTGTATCTGCTTGTGAAAACGGAGATCCCCAACTGGTAACAGTTTTTGTTACGATACTGTGGAAAATGGCAGCGCGGCACTGCGCTGGTTTCTGTGTAACTCTGGGAAACGGCGCCTTTCTTCGCTCACCTCCTGTGAGCCAGGTGCCGGGCTCCGCTCCCTTCCTCCTGCAGGGGGTGGCTGTCCTTCCACTTACAGTTGAGGAAACTGAGGCCCAGAGAGCTTGTGTTTCTTGTTCTGGAACACGTGGCTAGTCAGTGGCTGGGCAGGAAGCCGATTCTGGTTCTTTCTGGCCCCAGAGCTCGTCTTCTTGCTGCTAGAACCCACAGCTCACTTGATGATAATCAGCTTTCCAAACACTACCCTATTTCAGGGAAGTAACAAGTAGCTTTACTTGTTTTTCTAATGGCACACACTCTACAGAGAGATCAAGGGGACAGTGGCTGTAGCTTCCTGCACTGTCCCACTTGACTTTAGCTATTTGATGAGTCACCCAAGCCAATAGCATTGTTTTTGCAGAGGTGTTAATGGGGCATAAAAATGCTAAAACTTTTTTTTTTTCCTTTTGTTAGGATGGCAAATTTGAGTTATATCAAAAACTTCAGATTTAGCAGCTCGGCGAAAGATGAGCTGGGATACTGCCTGACCTCAGTCGAAGCTGCGATTGAATACATTCGGCAAGGAAGCCTCTCCGTCAAACCACCTGTAAGGTCTCGCTCCTGCCCTCGCCTTTCTTTGCGGGCACCACGGTACCCTTGATAGGGTTCTGGGGTTGGCGTGTAGGGAGGGGGATTCTTAAGTCATCTCCCAAGAACGGGGTCTCAGCTGTTTGAGGACTGTGAGTCTTGGAACCACTCAGACAGAGCACTAAGCCCCAGTCGGTGGTGACAGTTGACGGGCTATCATTGGGACTCACGGTGTTCATATCGTGCTTCATTAATCCCTGTCATCTTCAAAGGCGTGTGGGTGCAAAAGGAAGACAGAAATGGTGCATTTGGATTTCTTGACCTTCACAGGCAAGAAATGAGATTATTAACGTGTAATTTTAGGACTCAGTGGCTTCGTCATTGTTCCCTTGGTTGGTTGAGCTCTGGCCAGGGGAGGCGATTACATTGTGAGAATCTTGCACCAGCATCTCGTGATGTGTGATAAAACAGGTGGTTTGGTTTTTCCTGCAGGAGTCTGAGGGCTTCGGTGACAGACTGTTTCTTAAGCAGAGAATGAGCTTACTGTCTCAGATGACTTCCACTCCCATCGACTGCCTGTTTAAGGTAAGACTCCGGGATGTCTTCATGGAGAGAGATGTGTGAGGAATGCTTTGTCTCTTTGTCTCTGGGCATCAGGGTCGTCTGCATAAATACTGAAGCTCATTTTGTGCTCAGTCAGAGGGGTGGTAGACATGCCCAGGTTTGAAATTTGGAATCAGCTCATCTCCCTTTCTCCCCCGACGTGTGCTGCGCTGGGTGGCACACGGCAGGCGCTGGGCCTCGGAACCCTCCACCTAGGCTGTCCTCCTTTCTCAGTTTAGCAGAATATACAGGTTCCTCAAGGCTGGGTCAGTGGCACCTCCACTGGTAGCCCCGATAGAGTCGATGCCTCTCTGGGCTCCAGGAGCCCCTGTTGCGTTTGTGAGCGTGTGCGCCGGGCTGGGCGTGCAGCGCCTGGCTGTGTGGTGTGATCACCTGGCACGTGGGGCAGCTCCCCGCCCAGATACTGACCGACCGCTGGGAGGCTGGTGGGGCCCCCGCTAGGCAGCCCGTGAGCGCGGCCTCCTGGGGGAGCCTGCTGGTGCCTCTAGGCTACCTGGAACCAGGGGGGTTCTATGGCAGGAGCACATCCAGGAATCTTGGGGGTGAGCCCTGTGGGTTTGTGCACTGATAGGGTCTCTTGCTAATCCCAGCCATTCTCCTCTCCCCAAGAGGAAGCCCTGTTATGGTAGAATCAAGAAGGGGAGGGCTGAGGCTTTTTCCAGTGAGGTGTCAAAATCCACACGGAGTTCAGAGAGGAGTTGCTCCTCCCCGCATTCCTCTTGCTTTGGGGATGTTGTCATGTTGCTGTTCTTGTTTTTGTTTTTGTTTTTGTTTTTTTTTGAGAAATGCTTTTATTAAGCAACGTTTTTATAGACTGGTGAATTACGAAACGTCCCACTGCGTACATACCACGCTTTTTAAAAATTGAGGTTCTTCGTGTGCATTTTCCACTTTCGTTAATCTCCTTTTTTATCTTATGTACTTTTTTCCTTAGATTTGCCCAGTCAGTAACTTCTTGTTTTAAATATTTCATAAAAAGTGCTTGGTAGTATTCATATGAAAATGATGGTTGTTTTCATAATTATGTTCTTCTTTTGTAGGATCCAAATCTGGGGTTGAAATGAATTTTCTGGGGAACTTTTCTGTGGTTTCTGACCACTTTCTGGTTGTGTCTATAATTAGTGGGGTCACCAGGGATCCTCAATTTGGCCATCTGAATTCCAGAATCACCAGCAGTAGAAAAAAAAATAGAAAAAAAAAAATGAATTTCAGAATCGCCCAGTTCAACACGGCAGATTTTCACATAACCCAACCTGATCGGCCCTCGATACACAAAGCATTCGCACCATCTGTGGCGATCTGTGCTGTCAAGACTGTTTACGGCTTATTACAAAGGACATTGCAAAGGATACAGAGGGAAGAGCTACAGAGCTTCCATGTCTCTAGGGTGCACCACCCACCAGGAACCTCCACAGACCTCCCCGTGTTCAGCTGTCTAGAAGCTCCTGTTTTTTTTAATTATGGGAAATTTTTAACATTTATATAAATAGGATAGCCATTATGCAGTCTAGTTTCATCTGTGCCCCCAGCCACTTTACCTACTGCCAGATTACTTTGAAGGAAATCGCAGAGAGCAAAGTATTTCATCCCTAAACACATAGAGATGTGTTTCTGCAAGCACTCTCAAAACTTTCACACCTTCAAAAACGAATCTTTCCTTAATATTGATAGTATCTGGGATGCCACTTTTTAGCACATCGCGTCAGGTGACCAGAAAGAAGTGGAGAGACTTCTGAGCCAAGACGACCGTGACAAAGATGCCGTCCAGAAGATGTGTCACCCGCTGTGCTTCTGCGATGACTGCGAGAAACTCGTCTCTGGGTAAGAGGGTGTCGTGGGGGCCGCGTGTACCAGGAAGCGGGAGCGCGAGGTCTGGTGGAACTTTCCAGCACTTGCTGTGTGGCTGTGAATAAGGACACACCTCACCACGCCTCAGTCGCCTCTGCTGTCAAGTGGAGACGACAGCATCTTGCTCTTTAGAGACTCGGGCGGAACGGAGGCTGTAAAACACTTCGCACGCTGGTGGGCTGCACGCCAGGCCTGCCCCAGCCTCAGAAAGTGGGTTTAGGACAGAGGAGCGTCAGTTTCTCCCAGGAACATTTCTGGTTTCCCGTTACCCTCGTCGGGCTGTTTGGCTGGGTATTGAGGGCTAAAGGGGTGGCGGGCGAGATGCCTCAGCCCTCACGGTGCAGGACGCTGAGCAGGGGCTGGGATTCCTGGGACAGGGCAGAAGAGACACGTGTGGGATCACAGCCTGTGACCTGTCTCCTAGCCTCAGGGTGCCTGCTTGTCCAGCCTGGTCAGGGAGAGGCCGTGCCGTGCCGTCCTCACAGTGTATCCTCCTGTCTCTTCCACTTTAGGAGGTTGAATGATCCCTCAGTTGTCACTCCGTTCTCCAGAGATGACAGAGGTCATACACCTCTCCACGTGGCTGCTCTCTGTGGTAGGTGGTCTCGGGCTGGCCTCTGCGGTCATCAGGGCAAAGGGATGGCCCAGGGCGGCCAGCAGAGGCCTGGCTGCTAGAGCAAGGGCGGTTGGGGTGGTGGAAGGGCCTACGTCATGGGCTCCCCGCCCAAGGGCTGGAAAGGGAAGAGAAGCAAATGTCCCACAGGCCTTGACGGCCAACGTGCTGTCCCTGGGCTGGCCGAGCACACAGAGGTGGTTCTCACCGTGTGGAGACACCGCGTGACTCCGCAGCAAGGGAGGCCTGGGTCCCGGTGGCAAGAATAGTCTCCGAATCATCAGCTTGGGGTTCTTGGTGCTCTGCCCCTGAAAGATAATTTTATTGTCTTGAAAAATGAACATTGAAGGTAGGAAACGCAAACTCCTCCAGAGTCACTGGCCATCCTCCCGTCTCCCAGCGATGACTTTGATTTATGAGTGTCTGGAGTGTCTGCACGCTTGTGTGTACGTGTGTGTGTATAAATATGTAATATTGAAGGGCTCGCGCTGTTCGTGCTGGGCTGTTTTTCTCTCGGCGATATGTGAGAACATCTCTCCTTGTCACTGTTTTTTAAACGGCTGCATAATCCATCCTGTGAATCGACAAACCACGCGCTCTTCTGTGGATGTCTAAGGCTCTTTCCCGTTACCTTTTATTGCTGAGAGGGGACTTCACCCGGGTCCCCTCCAAGGCCCCCCCCAGTGTGCTCTGAGTCTGCAGAGCCTGACTTGATGGTAGCCCTGGTTCCTCTCGAGGAGAAAAAAACACCTCCTGGCGTGTTTCATGCCAGCGACCGAGAGGGCGAAATGGCTGTTTCGCAGCTGGGGATGGAGAGCCCCCTCCTTCCCCGTCGTGAAGTTGTCTGTTCTGCAGGGCAGGCATCCCTCATCGACCTCCTGGTGTCCAAGGGTGCTGTGGTGAACGCCATGGACTATCACGGGTCCACTCCGCTTCACCTGGCGTGTCAGAAGGGCTATCAGAGCGTGACGGTGAGTGGCGGTGCTGTCCGGTGCTCGGACGAGCCGGGCTCTGTGTGTCCACTGTATGGTGGTGGTTGTGTCCCTGGCTCCCTGTGTTGTACCCACTCTGTCCTGCACCGGCTCTGCGGCAGCAGCAGTGAGGATGGGGAATCCGAGGCACCTTCCCGGGTCCACTGGACAAAATCGTTAGGCTTAGATTTGAAACTTCTCGATCTTCTGAGAGAAGAAGGGGTGGGGTTGTAGACTTGTTTCTTCAACCGCTAAACTCCGTCAGGAAGGATGAGCGCAATGGTATGATTTTAACAGTGGTGTACGGAAATGAGATTTAAGACGGGAACAGGTGACCTCCCCCTTCCAAGACTGCAGGCCGAGCTTCCCGAGGCCGCTGCGCCGGTGGGGCCAGAGGGGGGCTTTCTCCTGTGTTCATCCGCTTCCTTTTCTCCCCGAAGCTGCTGCTGCTGCACTACAAGGCCAGCACCGACGTGCAGGACAACAACGGCAACACCGCGCTCCACCTGGCCTGCACCTACGGCCACGAAGACGTGAGTGCCGCTTGCTGGTCCTCACTCTTGCGCATGTGAATTTCTGATTAGTTCGTTGTTGCATTTTGTGTTGATAATGACTGGAACATTGAGTGTGTACTTTTTTTAATTTAAAAGAATTTTCAATGCATTACAGATGCTATATTGAAGTAAGAGAAATCTAAAACTTAATTTCCCATTATCTTATCCTGAAATTAAATCATTTTCATCTGTCCCTGCTACCATCTGGTTCTTACTTTTATTCATATTCAGTTTTTACAGTGACATCGAGGAATTTTATAATTTCCATTTTCACTTACTATTTGCTATGAGTGTATTAATTTTTCTACCCCCCTCCCCCTTCCTACGCTCCTTCCCCTTCTCTCCATAGGGATATACAGCTAGATTTATACTCAGGTAGGGTCTAGGCTGGGTCAGGTCGTTGATGTACAAAAATGGCGTCACACTCTGTATGTTTTGTGCAACTTGCTTTCCTAACTTAACACTACGCTACGGAGATCCTCTAGGTCACTCAGTGTAGGTCTAGGCCATTCCTTACTAGCTGCACGATGATCTGTCATGTGTCGTGTCAGAGATCTCCAAGACCACCCCTGGTTCGGTGCTTTGCTAGGGGGACTCAGGGAACTCAGCATACAGTGTCCTTTCGTCACAGTGAAGGGACACAGCACAGGCGGCAAAGGGAAAAGGCACCTGGATGAATCCAGAGGAAACTGGGGTGAGCCTCACATGGTTCTCTCTCCATCGAGTCGCAGGAAGTGTAACATACGTGAGGTGTCATCTACCAGGCAAGCGCATCAGGGACTCAGGGCCTGGGATTTTTACTGAAGGCTGGTCACGAAGCAGCCTCCGGCAAGCACAGAACAAAATCCCAGACTCCTAGAAGGAGAGCTGGTGTTCAGCATAAACCACAATGTTGTCCAAAAGAGGTTAGGTCCAGTGAGCTACCTTATCAGCCAGGGAACTGCGGGAACACTCCCCAAATCCAAGTGCCATGGGATGCTGGAGCCCGGGGACAGTCTTGCTGGCAGGCCTCCAAGGGGTCGCAGTCTCAGGCCTGCCGTGCTAACTCTGTTCTGCACATGGGGACATCACACGTTTATCCCGCCTTTTCTTACTGATTGGCCGTTGCGTCCTCGTGAAGGCGTGCGGTGTCCTGATCAGGTACCGTGGAACCTGGGGTTCTGTCTGTGGCTGTGCACTTGCTTGGTGAGCGGAGCCTCCGTCGAACTGGGACGTGGGCTGGAGTTAAGGAGAGCACGGATGGTGCCCGAGGCCTGGCGTTTAGTTAATGGTGTCCTTTCTCATTTCTCCGCAGTGTGTGAAGGCTCTGGTCTACTATGACGTGCAGTCGTGCAGACTAGATATTGGCAACGAGAAGGGAGACACCCCCCTGCACATCGCTGCACGCTGGGGGTACCAAGGCATCATAGAGACGTTGCTGCAAAACGGGGCGTCCACTGAGATCCAGAACAGGCTGAAAGAGACGCCACTCAAGTGTGCATTAAACTCCAAGGTAGCTCTTTTCCTCTCCGAGTGGCAGTGTGACTTAAAACAAAATCGATGTCCATAGATTAGGTCTTGGCCTTGGTGGACGAATTGTGCATTAGTCCTGAGGGCAGGACTTGGCTGTATGCTCTCTGCTGCATTTGGGACCTCGCTGTTAATGGATTTTACTTATTCATATGATTTTCAGTTTTACTAGCAGTTTTTCCTCAGTGTTGTTCCAAGAGCTGCTCCCAGCAGAGTGGCTGATGTATGTGTGAGCACAGTGGGTGAAAACGGGACGAAGGCAGAGCAGGCCGGGGCGGGGCCGTTTTCCCGCTACTTTCCCTTCAGTGCCTGGAAACCACATTCTCATTTGGCCGGTGTTGACCGTCACTTTTCTTTCATAAATGATTTGATAATTGGGCTCACTTGCCTCTTGCTGGTAGTAATTTCTGGAAACAAAGCTTTGGCAACACGCTGGGAAAGTTCTCCGCTGTCGTGAGTGAAGGGGGGTGCGGGTGCCCGTGGGGGCGGCAGCGTTGGTGAGGGACGCCTGGAGGGAAGCGTGTAGGCAGACGCCCCTGAGGGAGCGGGCCCTGTGACATGAGGCTCCGGGGGGCGTCCAGGACACCCTCGGGCTGCGGCTCCCGTAAATGATTATGTTTTCAGGCAGGTCTGCGCGTGGCCCCCTTTGCACGGCCCGACTTTCTGCCTTTTGGTGTGTTACCGGCTCCCTCTCACGGCTTCCAGCTCCCTTCTTGGGGGCTCTTTCAGCGTGTTCGCATCTCATCCTGGGAGTAGCACCGTTTTTGTTTTTTTGGGAACCACTGTATTGCAGTATGACTGGTGTGCAAAAAGCTGCACCCGTGAAACCATCTCCACAATCTGTGCCATGACACACCCATCCCCTCCAAGGTTTCCTCACACCCTCCTCATTATTATCGTTTCTGTGAGTGGCAAGAGCACGCGGCATAAGATGTAAGTAGCGCAGGTTTTGAAGGTTAAATCCCTGCTCCCGGCTCCGGGGTCCTTAGCCGGACTGCCCACCCACTCACAAGGCGGCAGCTTGGTAGCAGCCAGAGCGGACGGGACTGGGCGGTGCTGCCTGGGCCGGAGGTGCCGAGACGCCTCGCGAGGGGGGTGCTTCTGCCACTGGAGCTCTACCCGAGGCCCTTCAGGGGGGGATCTGCAGAGCAGAGGGGCAGGCTGCCGCCCAGGCGTGGCTCTGAGCCGTTCCTGCTTGAGACCCGTGGGTGCCGACGGAAAGGCCACGCTTTGTGCCTGTGCACAGACAGGCCTGGGGGCTGGGCGAGGTAGCCTTCGAGGCCCCTCCTGTGTCTGGGCGCCTCTCATCCTTGGAGCCTGTTTGTGGGAAGCACTGACCGCTCCCGTCGGACAGGAGGAGCACGGTATGGGAGGACGTCCAGGCTTTGCTGGGCGTGATCTTGCATAAGTTCCCACCTGCTTTGGGTCTTGGTTCTGTCTGTGCAAGGGTGTGGCTGGGCTGCAAGACCCAAGACTCTGCTGCGCCACGTTCCAAGGAGAAAGGCAGGCAGCGGGCGTGTAGGTGATGGCCCTTTGTTGAGGTGATACTCATCTCGATTGGTACTGTTCACCCCCCTCGTCCTCCTAGATTCTCTCTGTCATGGAAACCTGCCATCTGTCCTTCGAAAGGAGGCAGAAGTCCTCTGAGGTAAGTCAGCGCTGTGCCAGCTGTTTGCAGTAGAGACCAGGGGCCTCTCCCCGGCCCTCAGCTGTCCACATGCCCACGTCTTTTCTCTCATCTGGGCTCCCTGGCTGCAGGTCCCCGTGAAGTCCCCTCAGCGCTCTGTGGATTCCATCAGCCAGGGCTCCTCCACCTCCAGCTTCTCCTCCGTGTCAGCGAGCTCCAAGCCAGAGGACACCACCAAGGACTATAGAGAGGTGAGGCTTCCAGACTGGGTGGCAGAGAAGAGGACATGGCGGCCCTGAGGTTATGGTGGCCAGTTAAAGACCCATAGCCCAGGCTGGGTGTGGCAGCTCACGCCTGTAATCCTAGCACTCTGGGAGGCCGAGGCAGGCGGATCGTTTGAGCTCAGGAGTTCGAAACCAGCCTGAGCAAGAGCGAGACCGCGTCTCTACTAAAAATAGAAAGAAATTAGCTGGACAACTAAAAATATATAGAAAAAATTAGCCGGGCATGGTGGCACATGCCTGTAGTCCCAGCTACTCGGGAGGCTGAGGCAGGAAGATCGCTTGAGCTCAGGAGTTTGAGGTTGCTGTGAGCTAGGCTGACGCCACGGCACTCTAGCCCGGGCAACACAGTGAGACTGTGTCTCAAAAAAAAAAACAAAAAAAAACAAAACAAAAAAGTTTACATAGACACCTGCACACACACACTGCGTTTTGGAAAAGCTGATTTATATATTTTTTTCTGTTTAATTTATCTTAGAGCTTGTTCAGTGTCAGCCCAGTGGATCTGCCTCACTCTAACTGAAGGGGGACCACTGTATGGACGTACCACAGTTCCGCTGACAGCTCCCCATGGATGGGGGCCCCCTCACTGATGCTACCCTAGTGCCCACCACCCCCAAGATATGACCTGCTCTTGGAGGGCTGTCAGCTCAATGCAGACCACAGCAGAGAAAGCCAAGATACGTGGTCAAAACTAACAGAGACCTGCAGTCTCTCCTGGGAGGGGGTGTCCACCCTCATGGTATCCTCAGCTAGCAGACAGAGCTGAGTTCAGTACGTGTAGTTCTAAATCACAGGAGTGGCAGCTTCTTAGGAAGCACCTGTGATTCAAGGTGACTATCATCTCACCTTTCCACATAAATGACAGTTACATTTTATATACCTTAAATGGCAGTGGGTTCTGTGCACACCAGCAACTTCCTAGGATGTCCTATCTGAACAGTTCTAGGGATACGTTTGAAAGATACTAAATGAGTCGTTAAAACTCCACAGATTAAGAGACAAATGAAAGCTACTAGCTTTTAGAATGTTTATATTATTTCTATCATCATCTTATTATTAAAATCATTTTTCTAACTTTCTTTTTCCTTTTATTAAGGTAGAAAAACTTTTAAGAGCAGTTGCTGATGGAGATCTAGAAATGGTGAGTTTTTAGAAGTGCATTTTAAAAAGCCTGCTCTTGGTTTAAGACAGCTACCCACCTGTGTTTCTTGTCTCCGGTTCATTTTCAAGCCGCGTGGCTCCTTCGTTCAGTTCCACATAGAAGGTGGTATATTAATGAGTATTTGATAACAGTGATGTGTTTTTCCAACAAGCGATGAGGCAGGCTGGCATACGGGCACACAGTGAGGCTGGTCCCTGCCTTTTGGACATTCACATTCCAGGATTGCGGCGAGACGTTTGCAAGGAGAGCAGACCATGTCCAGGGCACAGCGTGTGGGCTCAGAGCAAAGCTTGGGCTTGTTTTTTTTTTCTTTTTTTTTTGAGACAGAGTCTCACTCTGTTGCCCGGGCTAGAGTGCCGTGGCATCGGTCTAGCTCACAGCAACCTCAAACTCCTAGGCTCAAGCAATCCTTCTGCCTCAGCCTCCCGAGTAGCTGGGACTACAGGCATGCGCCACCATGCCCGGCTAATTTTTTCTATATATTTTTAGTTGTCCAACTAATTTCTTTCTATTTTTAGTAGAGATGGGGTCTCGCTCTTGCTCAGGCTGGTCTCGAACTCCTGAGCTCAAACAATCCGCCCGCCTCGGCCTCCCAGAGTGCTAGGATTACAGGCGTGAGCTACCGCGCCCGGCCAACTTGGTTTTAAGAGAGTGCAGGGTCATGGGGAGAGGAGGCGGTGGCAGCGGTGAGGGCAGAGCCCAGAGGTGTTCGTGAGGCTCTGTAGACGCTGTGGACGCCGTGACTCCTGGGCCAGGAGGCTGAGGTCTGAGGCCGGGGGCTCCAGGGAGTCAGGAGATGGTGTGGGCTCCCTGGACTGGCACCTGGGGAGGGTATCGTGGCTCAAAGGAAGTCACCGTCGGGTGACAGGGCACCTCCGACAGTGAGATCAGTGGACGGCAGAGCAGCCTTCGTTAGGTTCCTGTGAGCAGTTTCCCTGGTTTGTCTTCAGTTCCTGAAAGGAATGTGTCTTCTGCTGTTAATGGAGTAGTAAATTAGGCGCTTACCAAATTAGCAGCTCTGAATGAATCACACCACGAGAGAGCTTTACAGCGATGTGTGTTTCTAAAGTGCTCTCTGCTGATGATTGAGTTTGAGGTGGTGAACACAAACTGCTGGGATCTGATTGTAACAGCCTCTGGGACACTAAGAGTCTGAACGGCGTTATCGGTGTGTTCGCCTTTAGCCTTTGCCCAGAGGCCGCTGTTGATCCATCAGAGTGACACGCGGTTCTGAGCGGGACAGGGGTGTCTGTGTCTGGCTGATGTTGGGTCGCTCCTCGTCTTAGTGTGTTTGTGCTGCTATAAAAGAATACCTGAGACGCGGTAGTTTATGAAGAAAAGAGGCTTCCTTGGCTCCCGGTTCTACGGGCTGTACAAGAAGCGTGGCACCGGCATCTGCCTCTGCCGAGGGCTGCGGGCTTCGTCCGCTCGTGTGGGAAGGCGAGGTGGAACCAGCATGTGCAGAGATCACCTGGCTAGAGAGAAGGTGGGGCGTGGGGAGGGGGAACGTGTCGGGCTCTTTCTAACCACCAGCTCTCAGGGGAACTGAGAGAGCCAGAGCCACTCACTGCAGTGAGGATGGTCCCAGCTGTTCATTAGGAGTCTGCACCTCCCACTAGGCCCCACCTCCAGCACTGGGGATCAGATTTCAACCTGAGGCTCAGGGGCACACACATCCGAACCACAGCTCTCCTCTCCTGAGACCAGCCCTGGGGGCCCAGCATTCTTTGGAGGAAGCAAAGGAGGCATCTTGGGGTACCCTAGCACCGTGGTGTGAGCCAGCAGCACAGCCTGTGGAGACACAGCAATGACCACCCCGTGTCACATGCCTGCTCTTCCTCCTGCTGTGGGCGGGCAGGGGCTGAGATGGGTGAGCAGAGACAGACTGCCCCGTGCCCAGTGGGGTCACCATCCGAACGAATCTGCAGAGCCTCCCAAGCCCCATCTGAGCCCACCTGCTCAGCAGTCCCCACTCCCACCTTGGTCCCCTCTTCCCACCAAGAGGAACCGCGTGGTCTGCCCCAGCTGGGCTGTCGGGTGAGGCCCCTGAACAGAGCCTGTGGTGTTTCCAGCCCCAAAGTGTCTGTGCTCGGGGTCTGGGAGGGACCTGAAGGAGAGGAGGTTGGAGCCGGAGGGGTCTTCCTGGAGCCCTCTGCCCCTCCTTGCAGGCACGTGCCGACTTCCTTAGCGCTTAGAAGCGGGCCTAGAGATGTACTTACGTCATTTTCTTTTCTCACGTTTGGTATACTGGAAACTAGTCTTTATTGGAACGTAGATTTGACCTGTTTGGGGGTCTTTTCAATACTTTCACTGGGAGCCTGAGGCAGGAGGATTCCTTGAGCCGAGGGTTCGAGGCTGCAGTGCACTGGGACCTGTGAGCAGCCACTGCCTCCATCCAGCCCAGGCAACTTAGGGAGACCGTGTCTTAAAAATACTAACGACTTCCTCCTGGGGGCTGGTGCATTCTAGTTGCAAGAACGGAACGCTGGCTTGCAGCCGGGGAGGCTGAGGTGTGTGCCTTTGAACAAGCTGTTGACTCCTCAGGATGAGTTTTCTGTCGAGCGAGAAAGGAGGTGTCTGGCGCTGCCTGGCGGGTCGATGAACGGGTACGATTAGATGATGGAGGAGGAGGTGCTCCCCGAGGCCCTCGGACCAGGGTTTCAAAGCTGTCACCCTGAGGCAGCGCCAGGCTGCCCCCTCTTAGGACAGAAGAAAAGTCTCTCTGATATACCTGCAAACGGTAGCTTAACCTCCCTCTGTCACCACTGGAGGGATTTAGAGGCACAGGTGACCCTGGCGCCTTCCTGAGGGAGCAGCGGGCATTTATGGATTTGGGAACAGTTAATGGTGAGTGTGTGCAAGATTCTGTAGCTGGCACAGGATGAGTCTCGAGCTCCGGTTTCTCCTACTTTCCATCACCAGGTGCGTTACCTCTTGGAGTGGACAGAAGAGGACCTGGATGAAGTGGAGGATACTGTCAGTGCAGCGGACCTCGAATTCTGTCACCCCTTGTGCCAGTGCCCCAGATGTGCTCCAGCTCAAAAGGTTTGGCCCTGCTTCTGTTGGTGGGGCGGGGGTAGGGGGGCAATTCTTCTTCCCCTTAGGAAAGTTCTCTGCTTCTCAGCCGGATAATTTCCGTGCTCAGTGGCTACGAATAGGTATCCCCTGAGCCATGGTGGGGAGATAAAATAAAAAAAATTCAAGAAATTTTAAATTCTTGTTGATACAAGTCCTTTGAGATATATGTATTGCAAACATTTTTTCCCATCCTGTGATTTGCCTTTTCATTTTCTTAATTGTGTCTTTCAAAGAGCAAACATTTAAAATTATTAAGCCCAGTTTATGAAACTTTTTTATGTTTTTTCCTTTTTGTGTCTTATCTAAGAAATCCTTGTTTATCTCAGTGTTGCAAAGATTTTCTTCAGTGTTCCCTCAAGAAGTTTTATAGTTGTAGCTTTTACACTGAAGGCTGTGATGCATTTTAGTTTTTGTGTCAGGTGTGAAATGAAGGTTGATGTGCAGTGTTTCTGTATGTAGATATCCAATTGTTCCAGCACCATTTAGACTTTCCTTTCCCCACTGAATTGCCTGGCAAAACAGGGCATCATTTTAGGGGGCTTCATTTATTATAAACAGAAGTTAATCTTTTGGTCTATCATACCTTGCTAGTGTAATAGGGATTCCCCTGTGGGCGATGTGATTCTGAATCCTCCTGTAATCCCAAATTTGCACAGGAGCTGTTGGGGGCAGATGGCTTCAGTTTCTTTGGCCTGATTTCTTGAATACTAATGACTTTGCTTCCGTCTTCTACACTCAACAGAAGCTAGCAAAGATTCCTGCCAATGGGCTCGGTGTGAATGTGACCAGCCAGGATGGCTCCTCCCCTCTGCATGTGGCTGCCCTGCATGGCCGGGCGGACCTCGTCCCTCTCCTGCTGAAGCATGGTGCCAACGCAGGTGCCAGGAATGCAAACCAAGCTGTCCCGCTCCACCTGGCCTGCCAGCAGGGCCACTTTCAGGTACAGGCTGCGTCTCTTGGGCAGTGTAGCGGGGGCCCGCCTTTGGCTAGAGCCCCCCCTGGTGGGAACGTTGCAGAAGGGAAGGGTTTGGTGGCTAGCAGGGGCCACTGCCCTCCCCCAGCCCAGAGGTTCTGCCGTGCACACGGCAGGACCACTCAGCCTCGGAACGTAGAATGCTGGCGCTCCTTGGGGGAGCCGGCTCCTCCCCACCCCGCACCCCCGGCCATTCACATCTGGGTGCTGCCGAGGCTGTTCTGGTTCTGACCCCAGCAGGAGCCGTCTCTTGTGCGTGGGTATTTATTCGTCATCTTGCCACCTGCATGTTCCCAAAGCCTTCGGTCTGTGCTAAATAGTTCAGTACTTTATAAAGTGCAGTCATGGCCCTATAGAAGGGGTTCAGGAGATAATTCTAGAATAATTAACTTCGTAAAAATCCTTTTTTTCTTTTGGAAAATTATTTATGTGCATATTTTTTCACTTTTCTTTATCAGTTCTACAGTCAGCATATTCCAGGTCTTCCGGCTCTCTCCTAAATGCCTAGTATAGTGCTTCAAGCGTTGGTTTCCTAATCTATAAAATTGGGTAATGATTCCGACTCTCCCGAGGATACGTGTAAAGAGTAAATGAACACACGAGTGCCTAGCACACGCCTGGCACAGAGGCAGACCCTCGGCAAATGTTAACTCCTCCCCTCTTCAGCTGGTCTCCTTCCTCCTGGGGTCAGACATGTGTCTGAAGAGTCTTCTCAGTGCGCTTAGAGCAAAGTCTAAAGAATATCAAATTAGAGGATTTCTCCCTGCAAAGTTCAAGGTCGAAAATTTTTCTTCTCTGGACTAGGTGGTGAAGTATCTGTTAGATTGTAATGCAAAGCCCAATAAGAAGGATGTAAGTGGAAACACACCCCTCATTTACGCCTGTTCCGGTGGCCATCACGAAGTTGCAGCTCTGTTGCTCCAGGTGAGGGTCCTTCGTAGCCCTGCCGGCTGTCACACCTGCTCTAGTCAGTGCGGCACCTTTACCCAGTGAAACCCCTGGCGCCGGAGACGGAGAAGACTTCTCCCCCTGTGCCGTAAGCTGGCCCACCCGTCAGTCATACATAGGCCTCTGGGGCAAGGAGCTTGGCACCCACATTCCCACACGGGGTACTCTCATGGGTGTGGGGTGGTGCCTCAGCATCTGTCCTACAGCCAGGATGTGGTGACAAGGACCAGGGCGCCACTTTTGCTGAGGTGTGGGATCTCACCTCACTTAGGGGTATGTTGAGCTGTTACCTGAGCATGAACTGAGTGGCCTTCTGTGTCACTGTTGCTTTTTTCCATCTTGATAAAGGTTATACGAATTGACTGTAGAAGAGAATTTAAAGCAGCAGGGAAAAACCAACCCCTCCCTAACACAAAGGCAACTCATTTTGGTGGACTTTTAAAAAATGTGTATAGTTTTGATCAGTTGTTTTCTATCTTGCCGTTTTTCATTTAATGTAGAAAATCGTTTCTTAAAACCATAATTTTTAATGGTTTTTAAAAACCATAATTTTTAAACTGTTTTTGCTCCGTACAGTTAAGTGGCTTCTGTTTTCTCCTGCTGTAATGACAAGTGCTGCAGTGAATATCTTTGCCCATAAATCTTTTTTCTGAATATGACTTTTACCCCCAGCATTTTGAGAAATTCAGACCTCCAGAATGCATGTCACAGTGAGCGCCACACGCCCAGCACCGGGGCTCCATGTTAACATTCCCAGCGCTCCTGACACAGCTGTTCCTCTTCGTTCCTCTTCCAGCACGGGGCCTCCATCAACGCTTCCAACAACAAGGGCAACACAGCCCTGCACGAGGCTGTGGCAGGAAAGCGCGTCTTCGTGGTGGAGCTGCTCCTGCTCCACGGAGCGTCGGTGCACGTGCTGAACAAGAGGCAGCGCACGGCCGTCGACTGTGCCGAGCAGGCGAGTGGAGAGAGCCGCAGAGCCCGGGGAATCCCAGGCTCCCTTACAGCTCTCCCTGGATGCCTCGTGTCTAAGGTCGATCTGAACTAGCAACTGCCAGACCTTGGATCGCTGTGCTGGCTGAGGTGGTGTGCCAGAAGTCTGCCAGTGTGCCTGGCTGGATACCTGCCTCTTGGTCACCCGGTCACAGGGGGCCTGCTCGGCAAGCCAGGAGGGATCGCTCTTTCACAGGTGGTTTTCAGAGGCGCGAGCGGAGCGCTCCTCCCCGTCTGGCACGCTTGCGTGCCGTCAGGTACCCAGGGCAAGGAGCAAGTTCAGACGTTGTTCCGGCTTCGCCAGCCCTGCGTGTGAAAGCCCTGTGTTGCTTGAGCAGCACAATGTAGAAAGTTCGTTTAGTTTGCGGATTTAAAACTCCTTGAGTTCTGTAAGAATGGTGACAACCAGTTTAACCACCTTCTCCAGTGCTGTGGATGTTTGCTGTGGAGAACGGGGAGGAAAAAGTCCTTTTCTCCTGGGGATAAAATACCTGTTTTCTGGTCGCATTTTCATGGTGAATCTTTATCTAGTTTTCTACTCAGGAGGGATAGCTAACAGGCTGTTAAATTACACTCACCATCAATCCACCCTACTCATAGCTTTATTATATTAATTTTTAATTTTCAGTGACAGAATTGAAACATTATAAACTTTCATTTTAGTATTATTTCAGATGATGATCAATGTGTTTTATTGAGAACTTATTATGTGGTGAGCCCTTGACAACCTCATGATAACCCTACAGTAATAGATCGTAGCGTCAACCCAACTGCAGACAGTGGTTGAATACCCAGCCCGGAGTCGAAGGCAGAGACAGGCTGCAAATGCAGATACGCTTTCGCCACCACGCTTTGTGGCCTCAAAGTTGTGTCAATAGTTGTTTCTGAGTCTTTCTGCCCAGCCACACCAATATTGACATTTAGATCGAAAACAAGTAAAAACCTGCAAAGAAAGAATAAAAACTATTACTGTTACCTTTTCCCTTTCAAATTGCAGAATTCGAAAATAATGGAATTACTTCAGGTAGTACCGAGCTGTGTTGCCTCATTAGATGACGTTGCCGGAACAGACCACAAGGATTGCGTCACTGTTGAGATCAGGAAAAAATGTAAGAACTCACATTCTTTTTATCACTCTGAACTTGGGTTCATTAGAAATTCATGGGCAGTTGTTGGTTTTCATGTAATTATAAATGTAAAATATAATCATGATGGGGGGGGGATACAGGCACCAAAGAAATACATGTTACATCCTAATTTATCAGATTAGGGGTGAGCTTTTTTTTGATCCTAGTTTTCTGGTTGATGGTAATGATGTTTCCTAAGCAAGTAAGGTAGAAGCTCTCAACATTACCTTGAAGGTTCAGGCCTCCGCTTAGAACTGGAGAGGAGCAACCTCTGGTGGTTTCTTTCATGCTTCATGTTCCAAAGACAGGTGTTCTTCCGAGCATTTCCTGGACATCGAGGGTAAATGCTACCTTAAAAGATTTTTTTTTAATTTGCAGGTGTACAGATGTTGATGGTAATTAGAACAGCAGTGAGACTGAAGTATTTTCTTCTTTTTTAAAGGTTTAGGAGTTGTACTTTTTTTAAAAAAATTATGATATTGCAATGCAATAATGTGAATAAACCCACTCACACATCTGGATAATCCTGAGACTGTCTCACGTAATTGGCTGTAGCTGGGGACCATCAGTGTATTGAGGATTGATCTTTCTGTTTCATGGGGGTTCGCAGAGTACGGGTTGGGTGTTCCTTATCAGAAACACTTGGGACCAGAAAGGTTTCGGATTTTGGACTTTTTCAGATGTTGGAATGTTTGCATTATCCTTACCAGCTGAGCATCCCTAATCAGGAAATGAGAAATGCTCCAGTGAGATATCCTTTGAGCATCATGTCAAAGAGATCAGAAAGTTTCAGATTTTGGAGCATTTTGGATTTCACATTTTTGGATTAGGGATACTCAACCTGTAATAAATAGGCATATGCGACGTTTCTTTAAGCAAATTCAGGGCTTAGTTTTCTAAATTTTGTAAAACTAAGATAATTGAAAAATTGCATCGATGTTGTAATTTTAAAACGGTCTTTAAACTACTTTTGAAGTGTTCCGACGTTTATCCTTTTATCTACAGGGAACTCAAAAATGTATGATCTACCAGATGAACCTTTTACAAGACAGTTTTACTTTGTCAACTCAGTTGGTCAGTTTAAGTGAGTATAAAATTCGAGTTGATATCTGCTTCTGACCCTGCACTTTACTCACAACCGAAGCAGGTTGTGTTTACCTCTAACTGGTTACCAACAAACCTGCACGGATGCCATCAAGTGCTGCCTCCTTGTGGCCAGAGTATTTCATGCCAATGTCCCAGCTATTTATCTTGGTTCACTTTAATATTTAGTTTATTTTGAGTTTCAGAGGAAAGACTTCAAGGGAGATTATGCCAAGAGATAGAAGTGTCCCTAATCTTACTGAAGGTTCTGCACGTGAGGTAAGTTATTAAACACTGGCATATGATCGTATTTTTTAAAGCCCGGCCTTTTCGGAAGTAATCGATGGCAAACACATCCCTCCTGGATAGTCATCTTCATGTCATTATTGCCTTCTCTGTGACAGTTAGCCACAGTTAAAACTGGAACTCTTTAGTGGGACAGTCAGGAGTACACACTTCATTGACTGTTGTATTTAAAAATACATTTTGAGCAGAGAAAGGAAAGTGGAAACTAGTTGCGTGCGTGGGAAGCTGTAGTTCACAGTGTGCATAGTAGGTGACATGTCAAATTTCATTATGGTTTCAGTCACTAAAGTAGGTAGACGATGACTATAGATGGGTTCACAGTGTTTCCAAATATGATATAAAATTCATATGGATAATTCTTTCTGTGGCCATCTTCCTACTGCATTTTAAATCACTCAGTTATTAAAAAAAAGCCTGATTTACAATCTGTGATACTACAAAGTGACTTTTCTTGGAAACATGACATTTATTGCTGATGAGAAGGAATTTATAGTGTATGTGGCATAGAAATTCTAAATCGTTGTTTTAGAGAATTAAAATGATTTTTGTTAATGTGACTAATTTTGACTTCATATTTAATCTTCCATAGCTTTGCTAATAGACCTGCTGCTTGGTGGGAAACCCACAAACTCTGAAATCTGCCTGAGTTCAGTCAGGTGCTAGCTTTTCCCTTGCTAGCTGTGGGACTTTAGGCAGATTGCTTAGCTTTGCTGATCCCATTTCCTCAGGTATAAAATGGGGGATGACAATAGTACGTACTCCTGGGCATCATAAAGATTAAATGTGAATATATGTAAAGCGTTTTCTTCATGTCTGGCACATGTGGAGTATGCACATGTCGTCCACAAGCATGTTAGAATTGAAATCGTAAAGTACTGAGCACACTGTCTGACACAGTAAGCACTCAACGTAGCTGCCGTTGTCGTGGTGGCTGTTTAGCGTACAGACGTAAACTATTTGAAATGTACTTTTTCTTCAGCCAGTGAGGCAGAGTGTCACACTGAAACAGAATGACCCACCAGACCAGAGCAGATCGCATACTGCTGACAAAGCAAACAGTGATCGGCCGGAGAGGCCCGGACTGAAAGCAGCTGCCCCTGGACACAGGCGGATGCTGCGCAGACACACGGTGGAGGATGCGGCTGTATCCAAGGGCCAAGAGACTGCTGGCAACCTAACCACTGCCCAAGAGGCTAGCCTTTCCCAGTCTTAACAGTAATAAGGAATTGTTAAATTTGCTGCCAAGAAGTACATATGCAAGAAGATGCTGAGCATGAATACATCTTAGAACTAAATGTACTTTCAGATAACTAGCTTGAGAAAAGAAAAGTCATTGGTAGAAAGTTCCTGAGAGCTTTTCTGTGGCTGAGGCAAAGAATGCAACAAAAAACTTATCACGATTTCTCTCCTCTTCAAAGCTACTGAATACACTTGAAAAGGAACGGACAAAATTCCTAGTGTCCGGATCCTTAAGTCCAAGATACTGTTTCTACGTATTAGCGTTCCTTGGCTATAGGCAGAGGTTTTACCACCAGATTCTGACCTCCTCCTACTGAAAGGTGCTAAACCTCTGCCATGTGTATAAATTAGCAAACCACAAGCTAAAAGAATTCCTCCATCGGGGATAAGGTGAAGAGAAGCTAGTTAGGTTTCATGGTACCGTGGAGGCCAGGCAGAAGCGTCAGTTCTGAATGAAGCAAGCAGAACCTGGATGATGTTTCTTTGCAAAGCAACACTCGAACCAAAAGATGCCTAAATGCCATTTTGATGTTCATTTTAGTCAAAGGACATATTAGACCTGTTCTATACCATGCATATGGGAAAAGTTGGGTATAATTTTCCTTCTAACAAATTAAGTACAGATATTTGGTTACTACATATGCACCTGTAGCAGTGTTTCTAGAAACATCCCTTTCTGTTAAGAACCTCCCTTAAATGTCACATCTGATGGATGGTTACTGGACTAGAGTAGATTTGGCACATCTTTTCTTAGTCTTTTGATTCAGATTCACACTTACAGCACAAACCAGGTCAAAATTACTTTGAGTTAGAATTTATTGCCATTTATTCCTTTTTATAAATTTCTATAAATTATACTGTTATTTTTTTATGTTACTGGTCTAGAGCCGCAAATATGAATTTGTCCTGAGTACATTTTCAAATAACTTTGTAATAGGGAAGTGGTTTTGTGCATGTTCCTGGAAATATTGTGTATGTATAGAAGGGAGGGATCAATTATTTTTCTACAAAGTAATTTATGATTTCTAATTTTCTAATGTGCCTTGGATTTGTGCCAAATGATGGAAAAGAAACAGTAAACTTTGATTCTTGACTGTGTCATGCTTTTTTAGTTATTTCGCTATGGAGATACCCGTTTCTGAGCCTCTCAGCTACAAACACAGGCTTTGTGTGTGGAACAGTGGCCCCACTGGATGGATGTACATTTTCTGTTTTAGTTATGGGTGTGTGATTGAAACATGTAAACTTGATCCTTCATTCCTTTTTTTTACATCTTCTGTTTTGTTTTTGAGACGAGAGTCTCACTCTACTGCCCTGAGTAGAGTGCCATGGTGTCAGCCTAGCTCACAGCAACCTCAAACTCCAAGGCTCAAGGAATCCTTCTGCCTCAGCCTCCTGAGTAGCTGGGACTACAGGCATGCGCCACCATGCCCGGCTAATTTTTTCTATGTATTTTTAATTGTCCAGCTAATTTCTTTCTATTTTTAGTAGAGACAGGGGTCTCGCTCTTGCTCAGGCTGGTCTCAAACTCCTGACCTTGAGCAATCCACCCGCCTCGGCCTCCCAGAGTGCTAGGATTACAGGCGTGAGCCACCGTGCCCGGCCAAACTTGATTGTTCAGATCATCATGCATCTACCTAATGAGGGCTGACTTCAGCCAGTAGGCACAGTGCTCAGGGCCCACAAACATATTTTAATGTCTTTTAAAATCAGAATAAAATGAATAGTTTTCTAGTCTAAAAGTGGAAATAAGCACTGTTGGCTCTGCTGATTTCTTTGTTCTGGTTTATTTTTCCCCCTTTTCTCCACTTTTAAACAACATAGCTTTATGGACTTAAGTTGCTGTGATTCTCTACCATCCTAATTAAGAAACTATATCCTATAAAGTTTATCAGCACAGGTATTCTCGAGATACAAATATGTACATTTGATACCTAATTTTTTGAGTGCTGCAATATAATTTTGAAAATTTTCATATATACTCCTGTTTAATTCCAACAATTGCCCTGGATGGTAGAACGCTCAAATAAGATAGGATAGGAAAACTAAGGAGTTTAATTTGCTGGAGATCTTAGAGCGAGGGTCAAGGCCCAGCTGGGCAGTGGCATCCAACTGGCAGTTTCAGGCTTGGCGTGCCCTTCATCAGGAGATAATAAATGTCGTAAATGGGACTATCAGATGGGGAAAAGTTTCCTTGTGAGCTAGTCTGGTATTCAGTACCAGCCGTTGTAAGGGATTACCTCGATTATAAATAATTTCTTTCCCTACTTGAAAAACCAAACTTGATTTGACAATTTAGAAATTGGTAGTGCCTGAATTCCCATTTTGTGAAAAAAAGTTTTTGAATCAAAGTAGTGCCAATTCACTGATTTAAGTTAGAAAGTTCAGAATAACCACTCCCCACTCGACTAAAGCGCATTCCCCTATCCTTGCATACAGAACCATTTTTCACTCTTGTCTTTGGAAGACAGGAGTTTGACAATCTTTAAACACATTCTTATCAGTAGTTGCAATTAGGATAGTGGTTATTCTGCAAGAGAAAGCATGTAACAAAATTTACTGAGAATTGTCCAATGTCCCCTCAGATTTTTTTTATGTGAGGCCAAAAGCAAAATTTCCCTATAATTAGGATTTTTTTTCCAAAACTTCTAAATTTTATTTTGACTATTTATAATCATTATGTTCCTTTAAAAACATTTCGATGTTCTTAATGGTTCTACTCATTCGTTTATTCAGAATGTTAGACACTTACTCCAACACTGACTTTCTTCACTGGCCATAGTTATAAATCTCAAATATAGTTTCGATATGTATCAGCAGTATGCTGGCTAGAGCAGAGACAGATTTGTAACATTTCCCATCACTTTTCTGCTATTAATCCCATCCATCCTACTAAATGTTACAATCTTACTCCTCAGCTGGGTCTCACAGGACTTATTAAAAAGGTTACAATAAACAACTTACTTGACGGTTAGGTTTATGATTTAAATTTAAGCATTGGACACTGTGGCACATGCCTGTAGTCTCAGCTACTTGGGAGCTGAGGCGGGAGAATCACTTGCACTCAGGAGTTTGAGGCCAGCCTGGGCAACATAGTGAGACTCTGTCTTTAAAAAAAAAAAAAAAATGTACCAGTGAAGGTTTCATAACCTAGGGGAAGTAAAACACAATATAAAAGATAACATTTGCTTTAACTCACCTGCAACTTTATCAGTGAAGAACCTAGAACATTTCTACCAAAACATTTAACTACTGAACTGTCCCAACTGGATTTTAATCACAAATTTCTCTTACAATCATGTTTATTATTGTTGAAGTATCACTATCAGTATGTCCTAATTATTTTGGTCATTTTTTTCCAATGGCATTATCGCTCTAGTTTTTTTCAATGGGAATGATATTTGTTAGATAATTTAATCTCAACACCTTTGAAATCAAAGCTCAGACTTTTCTTACATTAAATGGAAGTACTACCTGCAGGAAGAGAAACAGTTTACCTGCTTTTAGAAACTATGTCTTAGAAATTTAAGATGTGCTCAGATGTTAAAGCTGATTGAGTTTAATATATCGATTTTAATTCCCACAATGTTGCTGCTACTGCTATTTTCTTCTTACTGAAGAGTGCTGGAACAGCTGTTTCTGCTAAGGACATTTTCCCTACCTAGTACTAATGTCACAATTGCAAAGGATACATTCATGCTGCTGCATGTTTAAAAGCTTTTGGTAGAAGGGAAAAAATTAAAAAATGCAGATCTTCCGGTCACTTGGCTATGGTACTAAAACAACTCGCCCAAATTGTTTTGTTTTGCATAACAAGTTTATTTTCTTTTAAAAGGCATATAGACAATAAACAAAGTAAACATTTAAACAAATCTTAACTTCTGTCCTAGAATTGTTCCATTAAGTTCTAGTCTCTAAACATTTTTGTTCAATAATCATCATCTTCATCAGAATCCATTACTTTTCTTCTGTTAAACTGGGGGGAAAATTAAAGGAGTTAACATTTTTAATAAAGCATAACTCAGACTTCCTAGGAAGAAAAATTTCTTCCTATTTTAGCAAGATATTTTTGTGTATATTTAAAACAACTTAGTGATCTAAAAGGGTAGGGGGGCAAGAACTTTAAAAATTAGATCCCTCTCAATATATTTGGCCTTTCTCCCCGAACTTCAACTTTACAAAACAAAAATGTCTATGGGCTAAAAGCTATTTTGATAAGGTAGATATATATTCCACACCTGACATTTAAAGTGTCAATCTTTTTGTTGCCATGTGCATTTGGGAACACTTACTTTAACTGTTGTTTTCTTTTCTGTTTGTTGGCTTACTTTTTCAAGGATTTCTATTAAACCTTGTTCTGACACCTAGGATAACCAGAAAGAAAAACAGTACGTTTTCAGACAAAGGATTTACTTCAGCAGACTCAATCATTTTACAATCATTCTGGGGGGTGGGGGAATTAGCAGGCAATGTTAACAACATACACCACTGTGTTAATAAGCATCAGGGATACAGACACTCCACTTCTGCCGTTGAGAACCTTAAACACCACTCTGAAAGAGATAAGTCACACTCAGGAAACATCAACTGGTTCTCTCTCCCACACATAAGTGGTTCTTAATATGAGGGACTTAGGGGAGAGGACTGGTCTGGATAGGATGCAGTAGCGGCAGATGGCTGTGTCTAAATTTTTTTTTTTTTTTTAAAGAGACGAAGTCTCAGCCGGGCGCAGTGGCTCATGCCTGTAATCCTAGCACTCTGGGAGGCCGAGGCGGGCGGATTGTTTGAGCTCAGGAGTTCGAGACCAGCCTGAGCAAGAGCGAGACCCCGTCTCTACTAAAAATAGAAAGAAATTAATCAGACAACTAAAAATATATAGAAAAATTAGCCAGGCATGGTAGCGCATGCCTGTAATCCCAGCTACTCGGGAGGCTGAGGCAGAAGGATTGCTTGAGCCCAGGAGTGTGAGGTTGCTGTGAGCTAGGGTGACGCCATGGCACTCACTCTAGCCCGGGCAACAAAGTGAGACTCTGTCTCAAAAAAAAAAAAAAAAAGAGACGAAGTCTCTCTCACCCAGGCTAGAGTGCAGTGACTTAATCATAGCTCACTACAACCTCTAACTCCTGGGCTCAAGCGATCCTCTTGCCTTAGCCTCCCAAGCACCTAGGCCTACAGGTGCTCACCACCATGCCTGGCTTTAAAAAAAAAAATTTATAGAGATGGAGTCTCACCATGTTGCCCAGGCTGGTCTCAAACTCCTGGCCTCAAGTGATCCTCCTGCCTTGGCCTCCCAAAGTGCTGGGATTATAGGCATGAGTCAAAGCCTGGTCTCATCTGTCTCTTAAATGTCAGGCCTGCCAGAATATACCCCTCATGGTGTTATGGCAACATACATAGTAACTTAGGGATTTTAGCACCTTCTCATTTGTAAAACAAGCCTAATTTCTGTCTACATTGGTAGTATTTCAACTGGTATTACTGACAAACCTTGTCTGCAGCACAGAAGCAATTTAAGCTAGCTGACTCTAAGTCACTGGGTCACACAGATACCAACAAGGTTCCATGGCAATGTCAGGAAAGGAGAGAAGGCAATTATCTTTTATAGTAGGCACAACTATTCTCTCCTTTAAAAATTTCCTCATAGAAAGAGTCAAGAATTCCATAATCAGATGAAGATGAAAATGACCTTTGGAAGCCGTGTTTTGATAAAGCAGGTAACAGTAGGTAAAGTTCCCTCAGTACAGTCCAAGCTTACCTTCCCACTTAGTTGTCCGTATCTTGCCATCTGTATGAGGTAATTCTCTACTGCTTTAGTTTTTTCAGGCTTTACAAGTGCTAAGTTACTTACTAAAAAGAAAAAATACATACACAAAAAGGTGTCAAAACTAAATGCCACTTGTAAATATTAGACCTTAGAACTATGCACTGACATTTCCAAAGCACTTCACAAGCTTGTTTATGTCTCTCAACCAGTGAAATATACAGGATGGTATTGTTAAAACTGAGAAAACTAAAGTTCAGCCACGTCAATCTCAGTCAAGGCCACACACAGGTAGTGGTAGAGCCAATATTAAACTTGGGTTCTCAGATTCTAAACCCCACGCTTTCCCGGTTTTTAAAATATTTGCCCCCTAAAAAGGAATTTATTGTACATACATAATAGTGGTGATCCATCTATGGCTGCCTCTTCTAAACTCAAAAGTAGACACTTCGAATTATATACAGAAGATACTGGTTCGTTCTGATTGGCTCATTTTTTCTTTCTACATGGTTTTCTCTTTGGTTTTTATGAAACTCCATACAAACACTAAAACCGAGAATACATACAATAGATCCCTAAATCCCCATCACCCACATCAACTACCAACAACATTTTGTGACTAAGAGTTGTTCACTATAAATTTTACCTCGTTGCACTTGGAGAACATCTTGATAAGAGAGAAGTGAGCTAGTACTTTTAATAGTGATTAAAGTACAGTTCTCTAGGTTTATAAACTTCACACTATTTACAAATCTCAAATGTTTTTTGGCTAAATATTTAATCTGGAGACAGCAACGACTTCACATATATATCCCCATTCAACTAACTCAAGCCAATTTTATGGAAAGAAAGGAAATCAAAGATGCTTACACCTGGCCCGGGCTGACTGATCCAGAACTTGGGCCAAGATACTGTTTCTCATTTCTGCTTCCCTACAACAAAAACACAGGTCAAGCAAAATTAGAACTAAGCTGTCAACATTTCTATGGAACATACAAAAAGGTAACTCATTCAGTATGTTTCTCAAGATAGCGCCACGGGAGGTGCTATGCAGATGGCAGCAGCTATGTTAAAAGTAGAAGAATCCACTTTAGTCCTCAAGGAGCCAGCTTTATGTTGGTATAAACCTACCAGGTTGGCAGGTAAGCTTTACAGTTTCATAATTCAGGGTGGAGTTTCAGTTCAACCACCGTTACCAACATTTATAAATACCTATTGTGTGACAGGTGCTAGAGTTTAGTAGTAGGATTTCAGGCAATTAAAAGGACCAAGTGACTAGTATGCATAATTTCCTTCATGATGAAGCTAAGACCCAGGGAGGCTATGTTAAGGGGACACAGGTACCATGGTCAAGCTAGAACCAGATTTGTGAGTGAAATTAAAACTTTGCAACTCTCCTCACTTCTTCCAACCTGCCCAAGTAGAAACTAATTCATGTTAATAAGACAGTGGTCCTATAAACTTTTTTCTTAAGTGGCATAAGTTTTGTTTTTTTCAAATGAAATCCTTCAAGGAACCCAATACACAAAACAAACAAAAGCAGAGATGTTCTCGCTGAATTAGAGGGAGAGAGCCGGCTGGTTGTACCTGCCATCTGCCCCTAGCTCAGCCCCAGGGTTCACGGAATATAGCTTAAACCTCACTTCCATAGGCCGTTTTCTTAAAGCGCCTGAATACTTCAACCCTGCCAAAAACTCCATTATATTTCACTGAATGTAAGATGTCATCAATTGTAATATGCACCATAGTTTTATGTTTCTCTAAGAATGAAAAAACACCCTAGATAAGAGTTCTAATAAGAGACTTCCACTCAAAGCTGGGGTATCAAAGAGCAACATCCTCAGTACCAGGTAAACAAGAAATAAACCTACTGTGCAGAAAAGGACAGCAAAGCCAAGAAGCCTGCATGCATCTGGCCCTGATTGGAAGAAGGTAAAAGAAAAAAAATTCCTCTGAGAATATGAACTGCAAGCTTTAGTCTTGCAGGGTTGCTGTCTGAATTCACACTACCAGGGAGGAGGAAGGGGAAACCCTCAAGCAGAGAATTTAAGTGGTCTTGGATTAGGAATGTACCCAAGTGATGGCAGAAATAAAAGTAACTCCTCTCTGGAAGAATCCAGGGTAAGAGTGATCCATTACTAAATGCGTCCCAATTTCAGATATGTTAAAATATGAAAAAGTGCACATCTTAGAATCAATGAAATTTATGTAGCTTTACTTTCTTTGCATCACTACCCTAGGTGCTTACCATCTTCTCCTGAACCTTCTCTGCCTTGCCTATTTCTGTAGACCCAGCACAGTGCCTGATCCAGAGCAGATGCTCAATAAATATTTGCTGAAGGAATGAAGGCGTTAGAAGGCAGCATAAGGGGGCTGGGCACGGTGGCTCAGGCCTGTAATCCCAGCACTTTGGCAGGCCAAGGCAGAAGGATTGCTTGAGGCCAGGAGTTTGAGACCAGCCTGGGCAGGCAACACAGTGAGGCCCCGTCTCTACAAAAAATGTAAAACTCAGCTGAGCATGGTGGCGCACACCTGTAGTCCTAGATACCGAGAAGGCTAAAGCAGGAGGATTCCTTGAGCCCAGGAGTCTGAGGCTGCAGTGAGCTGTGATTGCACCACTGCACCCCAGCCTGGGTGACAGAGTAAGACCCTGTCTCTATTAAAAAAAACAACAACAAAAGGTAGCATGAGAGGAGGAAGGGGAAATGGGGAATTGTTCAATAGGCACAGGATTTCATTTTGCAAAATGAAAAAATTCTAGGGCTGTTGCACAACAATATGAATATAGTGAACAGCGGTACACTTAAAAATGGTCAAGATGGTAAATTTTATATATATATATATTTTTTTTACCACAATTTAAAAAATGGTAGCGTAATGGGGTAATCAGATATTCAATAAGCCTGCCATTGAATGAATATCTGCAACTATGTGAGGTGCTCTGCCATATGCTGGGATGAAATAACACAATAGTATAAGCTAGTATTTATTGAGCACTTACTAAGTGCCAGGCACTATACTTACATTATCCCTACAATATCCCTATGAGGTATTTCTATTATGATGCTCATTTTAAGGTAATCACAGTTCAGCAGACAAACAACCAGTAATTGAAATACGGGTATTAAGTGGGGCTCTGCATGGATGTATTTAACTAACAATAACAAAGATTATGATGACTCCAGGGCACTCTAGCCCAGGCAACACAGTGAGACTCTGTCTCAAAAAAAAAAAAAAAAAAAAAAAATCCATTTGGTGAAACCACCGTTCAAAAAGTTCAGGTTTCCAGCCCATACCTGTGCTTTGCTTCCTGTTGCGCTGCATCGCCAGGATCCTGAAAAAAACAATTAAACCTTTTAATAGCCTCATTTCACAAGGGGGGGAGGAAGGAACTACTCTATTTTGTTTCTCAAGCCTAACACTGTCCTGCAGTGGAAGACACCACTTACCAAATAATCAAAAACTGGCCTCGCAGAAATCAGGGCGACAGTTTCCACTTAGCACAATGTTTCCACGAGCTTCTAAAGCCACACTCTGATAGAACGTTTTAGAATACAAACCACCCTTGGGAGGGCAATCCCTGTACTACGAAACCGTGTTTTATGTATAAACATAATTTCTGGAAAAGGAAAGGGGCCTCGGTATCAGGGACGCTGGTGACTCAAAGGGCGCTTGCCCCAGGCCGCCCCTGCCCCGTTATTTATTCTTTCACGGTGCGGGCACGACTTGAGCATTTCACCCACGGAGCAGCGCTCACCGTCCGGCCCCTCCCCTGCCAACCCGTCGGGGCGTGCGCGCACCTGTCCCCGCTGTGCCCCCGCACCTGGAACGCAGCGGACCCGCAAACGCCGTCTCTACTTGGGTCAGGACACCTGAGCCCTAGAAAACCCGGATTCTGCACGGCCGGAGCCGCAGTGGACGGCGGCCAGCGGCGAACGCCAAGGGTGCGGAGCGGCGCGCTGAGATTCCGCCTCAGACGAGCGCCCGGCGCGGGGCGAGGCGACCCCGCCGCCCGCAGACGCCCCGGGGCAGGTCCCGCGCGTGGTCGGCGCCCCCGGCCGGGCCGCCCAGGCCCCTCGCGACGGGGAAGGGCCGCGGTCAGGCCGGGCCCGGCCACGAGGCCGACGGGGCGTCGGCGGGTCCTCGGCCCGCGGGGAGGCGCCCGGGCGAAGGCGGGGCCCGCAGGGGACGGGCCCGGGAGGGGTGGGCGCGCTCACCCCGTGCTTCGCCTGCAGCTCGGCCAGCCTCTGCTTCCTCAGCGCCTCCAGCTCCTCGTCCGCCATGGCGCGGCCGTGAGGGGTCGAGCGGCCGCCGTCTCTCAGGGGGCTCTCCCCCAGCCCTCGGCACTGCGCAGGCGCCCGCCGCGCCCAGGCGTCACCAATCCAGCCCGGAGCCACGCCCCCTGTGCTGCCAGGGCGTCGGGGAGAGGGCCGATTCCCCGATCGCAGGGGCGTGGGCGGTCTCCGGGCGGGCTGGTGGGGAGGGGCCGTCGGGATTCGCCGCGGCGCCCGCAATCCGCGCCCTGCGCGTGTAGACGCGGCTGTGCGAGGACTGGGCTGCGTTTTAGCAAAGAACGACGCACGAATAGGGCACCGACAAGTGTAATAATTACGAGTACAGTGTGTTGCCGGCCTATAACGTGCTAGGCTCACATTATTGCTCTTTATAGAGGAGAGTAGGGTGATGGAATGCCCAAAAGCTGGATCGTGGCGATGATTGCACAGCTCTTAAATGTGCACACGCCCTCCGCCTGGCGGGGTGGGAGGTTGTAATTGTGGCAAAATATAGATAGCATAAAATTTACCATTCTCAACTGGATAGTTCGGTGGCATTAAACACATTCACATTGTTGTGCAGCCGACACCACCGTCTACCTACCACCTTTCATCCCAAACTGACACTCTACCCACTAAAAATATTACTAATAATTCCCCTGCGCCTCTCCCCCTATTCCCTAGTAAGCACCATTCTACTTTCTATGAATTTGCCTATTCTAGGCACCTCGTGTAAGTGGAATTATACAGTATCTGTCCTTTTGTGACTGGTTTATTTCACTTCAGCGTCTTCAGGGTTCATCCATGCTGTAGCACGTGTCAGAATTTCCTTCCTTTTTAAGCCTGGATGTATTCCACTGGGTATAGAGGCCACATTTTTTTTTTTTTTTTTTTTTTTGAGACCGAGTCTCACTTTGTTGCCTGGGCTAGAGTACCATGGCGTCCTAGCTCACAGCAACCTCAAACTCCTGGGCTCGAGCAATCCTACTGCCTCAGCCTCCAGGGTAGCTGGGACTACAGGCATGTGCCACCATACCTGGCCAATTTTTTTTTTTCTATATATTTTTAGCTGTCCAGTTAATTTCTTTCTAGTTTTGGTAGAGACGGGGTCTTGCTCTTGCTCAGGCTGGTCTGGAACTCCTGAGCTCAAACCATCCACCCGCCTCAGCCTCCCACAGTGCTAGGATTACAGGCGTGAGCCACCGCGCCCGGCCTGAGGCCACATATTTTTAAAAGTAAAGGTCTTGCTGTGTTGCCCAAGCTGGAGTGGAGTGGCATGATCATAGCTCACTATAGCCTTGAACTTGTGAGCTCAAGTTATCCTCCTACTTCAGCCTCCTGAGTAGCTGGGACTACAAGTGTGTGGCACCATGCCTACCTAATTTTTTATTAAAAAAGTTTTTTGTAGAGACGGGATCTCGGTATGTGGCCCAGGCTTGTCTTGAACTCCTGGGCTCAAGTAATCCTCCTGCCTTGGCCTCCCAAAAGTGCTGAGATGACGGGAGTGAGCCACTGCATCCATCCTTGTGCAACATTTTTAAAATCCATCCGTCAGTCGTGAACATGTGGGTTGTTGCTACCTTGTGGCTACTGTGAATAAAGCAGCTGTGAACATGGGTGTGCAAATGCCTGTCCAGCTCTGAGTTTTCACTTTTGGGTCTATACCCAGAAGAGAAATTGCTGACTATCATATGGTAATTCTACGTTTAATTTTTGAGGAATGGCCATACCACTTTCCACAGAGGCTGCACTATTTTACATTTCTGACAGCAGTGCACAAAGTTTCCAATTTTACCATCTCCTCACCAACACTTGTTATTTTCTGTTTTTGTTTTTGATAGTTTTTGATAGTGGTTTTGATTTGCATTTCTCTAGTGATTAGTGATGCTGAGCATTGTTTCATATGATTGTTGGCTGTTTGCTTATCTTCTTTGGAAAAAATGTCTACTCAAGTCCTTTGCTCATTTTAAAATTTGCTTTTCTTTTTTGTTGTTGAGTTGTAGGAGTTCTTTACATATTCTAGACAGCAATCCCTTATCAGATATGTGATTTGCAAATATTTTCTCCCGTTCCATGGGTTGCCTTTTCAGTCTGCTGACTGTGCCCTTTGCTGCACAAAATGTTTAAATTCTCATGAGGTCCAATGTGTCTTTTTCTTTTGTTGCCTGTGCTTTTGGTGTCATATCCAAGAAATAATTGCCAAATCCAACGTCATGAAGATTTTTCCTATATTTTCTTCTAGAGGTTCCATAGTTTTAGCTCTTTATATTCAGGTCTTTGGTCCATTTTGAGTTAATTTTGGTATATGGTGTCAGGCAAGGGTCCAGCTTCATTTTTTTGTATGTGGGTATCCAATTTTCCAAGCACTGTTTGTTGAAAAGATTGTCCTTTTCCTATTGAATAGTCTTGTGCATATTACCAAGAGCACCATCGGAGATGCAACTGAACATTTTTCTAAGCACGCTGCAGGTAAGAATAGGTGATCACACATCAGCATATATAACATTACTAGAGAGCTGGCAAGTAACCCTGCTCCCTCTTAGTATCTCATGTATGCCCAGTAAAATAAGGCTAGCTGGCATCACCAGGAAGTCTCTCTCTCTCTCTCTGTCTCTCTCTCTCTCACACACACACACACACACACAATCTCTACTGATTAATTGAAAGTATGGCCCTGAGAACTTTAAGAGAGAAATCAGAGAATTTAAGATACTGATCATAGAAAGAACAAAATTATCAGTGAGTGAGCTGCATGTTTTGCTTAGGATGATGGATGATGGTGCCCTCCGAGAGGAGCAAGTGTGGTCCTAGTTTCAAAGACTATGGTGTCTGACCCAACCCTGAACCTCGTGCACTCCCCAAGCCCCAGCCCATCTCCAGGGGTTGGAGTTTATGATCTCTCATCTACATCTTGGGAATAGAAACAGCTGGAGTTTAAGGGTTTAGTTTTTGGTTTGGCTGAAATGCAACATCAAAGTTGTGGCATTAAAATGTTTCTGCTCTCAGGATGGCTATAGTAAAACGTCCTGCTGCGGAGAAGAAGCAACTTCGAAGTGGAACTGGTGGTGGGTGGGGTGCGGCCGGGTTTGAGAGGCATTGCCTTCTGATGTGGGGAAGGTGATAGACCTGGGGGATGCACCACACGAGCCAGCAGGGAGTCCCTGGACAAGGCAGAGCCCAGAGCACTAGCAAACTGTTGGCAGCCTTCTGAAATGGAGCCAAAGGAGCTTCTCCAGTGGCTGCGTGGAAGGAAGAGAAGGAAGGGAGGGAGGGACGGGGAAGGAAAGGAAGGAAAGAAGGAAGGAAAGAGGGAGGGAGGAAAGGAAGGAAAGAAGAAAGGGAGGAAAGAGAAGCCACTTTGGGTGGGAAGCTTTTCAGCCTCACCTCTGCGATGCACCTAAGTATGAACACAGGTGGTCTGGACGATACATCTTATGGTTTCTCTGCATTTTCCATCACTTCCACTTCTTGCTTCCTAGTGAAGCAGCAGCACAAATAGTCTCAGAAGCCCGCAGGGCAGGGCCTACAGAATAAGTCGGTCCCTCTGCCACGTTCGGCCCCAGGACAGGCCACCTTCTCTACTCAGGTCTCCAAGGAGCCTCAAATGCCTGGAGTTCTGGTGTCTCCTGCCAGCAGCAGAGGGAGCCCACACTCTACCGAAAGGGACTGAGTTTCTCATTATAATATAAAGCAGAAAATACAATAATTGTTGTTTTTTGCCACGCAGTATGTCCTTACAGATGAAGCTTTAATCTCCCTCGTACATCTCTGTTGCTGTGAATTTATGCTCCATCCTGGCACCATATGCCCGATTCACTCGGAGAAAGCCACAGTGAGCTTGGCCGTGAGCTTGGGCTTCATAGCTGTTTGTGCTGCATGTTGAATTGCGGAGTGTTCCCTCACACACTTAAAGGTTAAGTCTTCATAAGTTGTTTTATATCAGTTTATTAGCCATGATTCTGCAGTCAGTCAGTCGTTATGCCATGGAAAGGTACCGTTACACTCACTGACAATTACGAGATACAAGAGGCAGGAGGAGAGTTTGGCCCATTAAAAAAAATTCTGGAGGCACAACACACAACGGAGTGGGGTTGTGTCTGATTGTTGTCTAGCAGCTGCCGATTTGCCTTCTCATCTATTTCTAAGTAATAGATATTGATGCTTCTTTGCTCAGAGCAAGCCTGTTTTACATACAGTTGCACGCAATACACAGAATGGCATTTTTTCCAAATCCTTTTGGGCTCACTATTAAGGCTAGGCATGACGTCATAATATCAGGACCCAGATTCCTGACGTAATCTGTGCCTCATGAATAAGTACGGTTCACCTGGACCTTCCATCCCTATCTCAAGGTACCGCTTTGGTCTGTTCCATCCTTTCCCCTGACGTTCCCTGCACACATGCTCTGTTCATTCCTGTGCCACATCTCACGGGTCACTTTCTACACTGAATACACCTTACGAGTTTTCCTACTGCTCCACTGTTTGGTTGTCTTGTTCTACACGTCAGAACTGAGCATTCTCAATGATATAGCCACACCCATTACAATCCACTCACGGTATTCAATGCTCTGGCTGTAACGCATCTTCCAGATAAGTTGAAGGCTGTCAGTCATTCTGATTACGGTTCACAGTCAACGCACAAAGCAGGGGTCCCTTCAGTCCCTGGTGAGACTTGTGTTTGGTATCTTCAGCCACAAGACTGTGTGGTTCCAGGCATCGTGTTTCTTTTCCTTTGGTGCTAACTTTCTTTTCAAGCCAAAGTTCCTCTTTGGTGCCAGCGGGTTTAATGATCTCCTGTGGTTTGTGTTGGATGCATTGTCTTTTCTTAGAGACACGATGTTTCTGTAAATTGGGTTCATCTTCCCACTTCCCCATCTTGGTGACACTCATTCTGGCCACAGAAGTCCTCTGCTCATGACATGCAGTAAAAGCCGCAGCTGCTCAGTGGGTTCTTGGCTAGCTGCAGTTCGGGCCAGGCGTCCCCACCGCCGTAACTCCAGATGGAGCAAGTGTGCACAGGCCCCCAGGCACCTGCTGTCCACCTGCTTGCTCACTCTCAACTCTGGTCCTCCTCAGCGGGGAAGGCCGATGCTACCGAGTGGGGCAAGACACTTGAAGGTGGCATAACCCTGGGTTCAGG